TCTCTAGCGAACAAACATAAAAGAGCCAGTCAGAATCTGTGTCTCTCTGTGATATTGCCATGTGCAGAGGTTTGGGAGACACACAGAGAACTAGATGGATATAAAACACTCAGTTTAACTTAACTCAGGCTGAGAGTTTAGATGTATATCAGGTGATCCTTGTGTGTTGGCACTAGACAGTGAAGCTGCATCAAAATATCTTTCACAATGACCAAATATGAAAATTTACCTCGTGTCTTTAAGGAATATATTATAATAATCCTATTTCTTTTCTCAGCATCTATAATTTTCTGTCTTTCATGGATAAATCTGTACATATTTAACAGTTTTTAATTTTTATTATCTCATCTTTGTAGGGAAATATATATGGTTATTTACACTTGTTATTTTGCAATCTCCAAGTGGATTTCTCTATATGCACAATCTTACATATCTACAGGAATTAGAATAAGCCTCTTTGTGCCATTTTCTTAAAGGCATTTGTGACCATTTCTTTTTTGATTGTTTTCTTTGTTTGTTTGTCATTTTTTCTCTTTTTAAGTGGATGGCTCATTATATAGCTGTTTGCTCATCAGAAACTTACAAAGCAGACAAGGTTACAACAAATGAGTTAAACATTTCTATGGACACTGAGCCTTGAGAATAAACTGTCAACAGTAGACTTTGCTCCACTGGGTTTGGTTGTGTTTTTTGGTTTGTTTTGATTTGATTTGATGTGTTTGAGGGCTAAGGCAGCTTGTACGTTTGTGCAGTAAGTGTGCCTGATAAAAATGATTATGAAAATGATCCCACGGTTGGCTGGTTTCTAGTACATGGAAACGGAAGTGAAATGTAGTAGGCAAGACCAGGAAGAATCTCTCCAAAGAACTAGGCTGAAAGAACCAGAAATTCCACCATTATCTGTGGGACTGAGGGAACCGCGTGCTGCAGATCTGGGTGAAGAAGACCTGGCCGGGTCCATGGGGAACCGCAGTCTCCGCGGGGGGGGGGGGGGCTTGGGAAAGTCACAGTCAGCAGCACAGTGGCAGGAACCGCAGCCCGGCGGCCCTGGAACCGCCCAGGTGAGAGGAGCTGCGGGGCTGGGACCCAGGAGGGAGGGGACCGGGAGTGTGCTAGCTGAGGCTGCTCAGAAGGACACCGTCAGCTCCAGGCCGCCCATGGCGGTGCAGGAGGTGGTGGTGCAGGTCGCCTGTGGACAGGTGCGGTCATTTCTGTCACCACAAGTTGGGTGCTTCCCTGTGTGCCAGGCGCACCCCTTAAAGGTCTTCTGGCGCTGATAGCGCACGCCTTTAATCCCAGCATTCGGGAGGCAGAGGCAGGAGGATATCTGTGAGTTCGAGGCCTGCCTGGTCTACAGAGCGAGTTCCAGGCCACGTTCCAAAACAATACGGACAATCCCTGTCTAGAAAATACAAAAAAGAAAAAATAAAGAATGAATCTGTTACAGTTCTCCCTCTTGTGCCTGATTTGCTCCCTCACGAGGTCTCTATTTTCTTTACGGCCCACCTGGCCAGCCACCAGATGTACCCAGGTTTGTACAGTTTTCCTTATGGACACAGCTTTCAGTATTCTGTTGTTGTTATCTTTCCACTGTTGGTAGGTTTGAGTTACCATGAAGTGGGTATTAACTGTGCATTTCTTTTTTGTTTTACACTCACCGTTGCCACACTATTCTGTCATAAAACAATTCTTAAAATAATCTAGTTGAGCATTTGCATTGTCTGTTGTTTGCAAAAGCGTTTTCTTTGCTACGGTGGCAATTCCAGTGCCCCTGCAATTTAAACTCATCCATGCTGTCTAAAACCCCTGTTTTACCGCTTGCCTCTTCAAGACAGTGTGTTTTGTCCCTGAGACTAGGCATGCTAAAGATGTTTGTAGCTAATAATCCCATGAGGAATCACTACAGATATGATTAAACAAAATACAGTTCATAGAGTGCCACACATATGCTTGTAAGCATTAATCAAACATTTTACATCCCATTAATTTTCCATCAGAGACAAATGCAGTCTATGTTGTAAATACAGCATTCAGAAATGTGTCTTAATTTATGTTGCATATGACATCCAGGCAGGCCCAATACGCATGCTGTTAGAATACATCACACAACACAATTTTGAAATAAATACTTTCAAAGGAAGGATATACTTTGATTCTAGGTTGTTTTCTCCTTTTTGAATTTATATCCTTTCTTTGAAGATGTATCCTATTGTTTTGTTTGTGGCATATTATACATATATATTTCAAGAAATCTCTGGAGGAAAATATACACACATGCTATCATGTTATTTTTTTCTCTATTGTAATTCTTTTTTTCATTTTGCATTTCTTTCTGTTTTATTGATAGTTTTAAGTCCTTGTTGTGAGACTGGGCATTCCTGGCACACGCCTTTAATCCCAGCACTCGGAAGGCAGAGGCTGGGTGGACTCTGTGAGTTCGAGGCCAGCCTGGTGTACATAGCTAGTTCCAGGACAGCCTCCAAAGCAATACAGGGGAACCCTCTAAAAAAAAAAAAAAAAGTTGATTGTGAATACTGACTTGGCAGAGAGATCTCAGTGCATATTAGATAAACAAGATAAACAGTTTATTCATTAGAAAATGTATGGAGCTTGTGTTGTTTACATTTTGATCATATCAATCTTTTATGCATTGACATTTCTTTGGTTTATTTCCCTTTTGTGTTTGTTTGTTTTGGTTTTTTGTTTGTTTGTTGCAGGCTGGTTTCAAACTAAGAGATCCCTGCCTGCCTCAGAGGCCTCTGCCTCCCAAGCGCTCGGGTGAAAGGCATGTACCACCAATGTCTGGCTTTATTTCTTGATTATAATATTTACATTGCAGTTTTTTATCTTCTTGATAAAATGGCTATTTATGTATTGCATTATAAAATGTTTCCTAATGAATTTCTACAACCTGTAGGCTGTTTCTTCCTACTTTCAGTTATTAGAGTTTCTATGCAATTTTTCAGTTGCACTTAGTCTAATTTCACCAATTCACTGATTAGGACTTACTTTCTTTTATATGAGGATATTTACTTTTCTTTACAACACTTTTTGATGTGTGTGTTTACTCTGTAATGAAGTTTTTGGCATTTGAGTGAACCAAACAACCTTGGGTTTCTACTAAACAGTGCTGGAACCTTACTAGGACTCTCCTTGGATATCCTGTTGTTGCTCTGTGTTGTGAAGATTCTGCACCTTTTTGTCTATAGGCGATGTCCCTTCATGTGTCCCAGCAAATCACTATTGGGAAGGTTGTTGTGTTGGGCCAGGTCATAACCCTGGTTCTGGGCCTGGGCAGGTGACAGTTTGGACCACCCAGCTGTATTCTGTCCTCACTACCGGGGTGGGGTCTCCAGTATTGCCTCAGCTTATTCACATCTTATAACAATAAATGATTTGGGGGTTCTCTTGCTTTCACACCCTTAAGGTCCTGCAGCTGGTGATGGTTAGGGAAAGCCTTCTGACCCCAGGTCCAGCTCCTCTAATGATCTCAGGCATTGATGGGTGGGAGGGGAGGGGTCTGCTACCCATGCTACCTTTCACATGTCTGATTTGTAATGGGGACAATTCTCCTCTGCCTATGACATTGGGCCTGAGACTCCCTGACCTCCAAGCACCAGTCAACTCTACTGTGCTTCCCATACAAGGGACAAGGTGTGTTTTTAGTGTGCTGCAGCTGGTAAGTGGGAAGGTCAGCTCTTGTCTGGTGCGGTAGTAAGGGAGGAGGGGTAAGAGTGTCATTTCTTACCTGCCCACACTGTAGCATGACACATGAGAGTGGGAACTGCTCTCCCAGACTTTCAGATTCAGGGCCGTTGCAACCACACCTCTGCCAATATGATTGGCTCTATTATAGTACCCAGGTTAGGTGCAGGGCCTGCTCTGCCAAGTGATGCAACTGGTGAGGGGCAAAATAGCTCTTCTATTCCTGTGATCTCAGGACCATTTCTCAAACTTGCCTCAGATTTTGATGAGCATCCAGAGGCCATCTTCCCCTTGCCCATGCCAACACAAGACAGATGAGAAATGGGGACAGCTCTCCCATGTTCACAACGTTGGTTCTGTCTCACCCACATCTGCACTTACAGGGCTGGCTCTATTTTGCTGCCTTATAAAGATGCAGGGCCTGCAGTCCCAATTGTGAGACCTGATTGGGGGTCATGGACAGGTCTCCTACTCCTAGTCTACAGGGCAAGCTTTCCCACTATAGCTAATTTGGAAACAATAAACCAAGTGCTGCAGATGGCTGTCATCAGTTCAGAGCCCTTATTGGTCTGGTCGTTTCCACTTTCGGTTCCATGGAGATGCATGGTGACATAACTTATGTTCCAACATAGCTATTGTACTCTAATGTTGCTGCAGACACTGTATACAAGATGCACAGACCTACCTATAGGCAAACATCCATACAAATAAAATCAATTTATATAACTCTTAAGACAAACAGTATATGTTATGGAGGCGCTAATAAGGATTCAAGATGACAGGACATGAGAGAACATGGAGGTGTCACAGCTAATATGATAGTAAGTGTGGAGCCTGTACATATGATTTGAAAGGGCCAAACTGAAAATATTAATGTCAAGTCAGTGGTATGTATTGGTTTTTATTGTTTAGGGAATTTCATTGATGCAGATGTCTTGTGTTTAATCAAAATCACTCCCTATTCCTCAGTTCTAATTACCCACTAACACAACGCTTTCTCACATCTGCATATTCACAGTTTTTAAAAAAATGTACTGATTCCATCACAGCCTAGCCATAGATACTTAAGCTACATCTCTTAAAAATACTGGCTCTTTCTTCAAAGGCCAAGAGTTGCCATTGGCAGGTGGTTTGTGATGATCCCTTCTACACTGCTGCACATTAAGCTTGGCTAATCTTGTACAGGTTTTTTGCATGCAGGTACATCTGTGGGATCAGGCAAGTAATGACATTCATGTGACAGATATGGAAACCAGATAAGCTATGTCTATACTGTAATATCATCAGAACGCTCAATGCCTTGCAAACGTGAACAGAGAGTTCATATCACACCAGCAGCAGTCCATGGGGCTGCCTCAGGAAAGACACCCTTCAGCTGGGCAGTTGTAGCAGCCACAGCAGATGTCCCAGCATCCCTGGGACTTCCCAGGTCAGAGGAGCTGCAGTCAGTGCTAGGAACAGACAGGAACAGGACCAAGGGTGTTATCCATTCTCTACTGCTGCTCTTTAGTACATGTAGTCTGATGTCTGCTATGAATTTCTTAATACTCTTGGTAAATCTTAGATTGTGGGAATGAGTCCTGATGTTATCAACTGATCTTATGATTGTCAGGACATTACAGAAGCATGATCCACTAGAGAATTGCATGTAAATGTCTGTACACGTGGTCACCTCTGCTGTTGTGGCAATCCAAGTTCCTGGGATTTAAATTCATCCATTTTTTTATAACTTCTCTGTTTTATCATTGGGTGCCCTATTCTGGTTTCTCTTTTTGCCATATTATGTCACACAGTGATGAGGGTTTGTTGACACTGGAAATGTATGAGTCTTAGGAGAGATTGTGTTCAAAGCTCAGTGGGTAGCTATCTATACAAAATTCTTATTTTTTCTTTATATTTTGTTTCATTTTTCAGAAGGGACAAGAGCATTGGTGTCTCCACATTTGTATGGCATTTTGTGGAATATATTAGTAAGAATTTTCTTGAGATTACTGACTTGGTGCTACACATAAGCCGTCAATTTTTCAATCATAAATGCATGCCCCTGTTTATTACTTTACTCTTTTCTTTTGGAGAAAGAAGGCCCTCTCTAGCTTATGTTTTAACTCTCACTGAAGGGTTTTCTTACATCGGAGAAATTTTGAAGAGTTGTGCCATATTTAAGGATATTAGGGTTTGTCTGCATATATTTACAGACATTGTATGATGTATTATGCCCCTGGTTCCCTGAAGTCTGCACCAAACCATTGGCACTGCAGTTAGACATTGTAGTTATGGCCATGTGTTTAGAGAGAATAAAACTAGGTATCTCTGGAGGAATAGCAAGTGACTTTTACTTCTGAGCCATGTCTTAAGATTGGTGTACACTTGTGATATTATATAACATAGCGTATTCTAGTTTTTGAAAAATAAACGAGTAATTATATATGATAGTTTTCTATAATCCTCTTAGATGAGTTAGAATGTTTCTCGATCTATTAAATGCATTTATTTGATAACAAGAAAACATTTCTACTTCACCTGAATGCATTGCCACATATGCTTGTATTTACATTTAAAGCTTTAATTATTCTAAAGTGGAATTCATGAAATTGTTGTTTTCAGTATTGTTTGTGTCAACTTTTAGAAGAATTCAAATAACATTAATGTCATCTGATTTTGCTTTTATATTCATGATTATAAATATTTCTCATAATTAGCTTCACAAAGTTTTTGATTCTACATGTTTGGAGCATAGAATATATGTAATGATTTTATACTGCTTACTCTCAAAGAGAAACTGAATCTAATTCAACCATGGATTCTGCATTCCCTATTCTAACTCTTTGTTCTAGACAGGGTTCAGCATTGTATCTCAGGATCTGAACGGAACATCTTGGAATAGAGTTAATTGAACCCAACTTCAGACAGCATTGTTCTAGCATTCATATTTAAGAAGGATCCACAGGTGTACAATTTCAAAGCATACATTTCCCATTGTAACTATACCATCTAAGATGGGACAATGAGATTCTGTTTGATGTCATGACATAGTTCATAATGGTACATTACTGTATCTAGACCTCAAATATGGATGTTATATTCCCTAAAAGTTTGCTGACTGCAAGACTCTTATGTCATCCTGTTTTCACAGGGATAAAAAGTACAATAGACTATGAATAGTTTAGAAAGTATCTTTTATTGAAATTAAATTGTTCTTTTGTTTTATGTGTTTCCAAGTTTTTACCAGAAAGTATGTGTACAGTGCATGACTCCTGCCTGTAAGCAGTAGCATTGGATCTTATGGATCTGAGATTAAATTCTGTTTTGTAGTGCCATTTGTGTGCTGGGAATCAGACTTCAGCTTGAAAGACTTTAAGCCATTATATGCTGCCAACTGGAGAAAAATTTTTCAAATTTTGGGATTGTAGCAAATCTTTTATGCTACTTGGGTCTTAGAAACCAATAGAAAATTTCTGGAGGAGACAGACCCAATGGATGTAAGCAGTGAACTATGTCTTCCCATACATTGTCATTGAGGGAATAGCAATGCAGCACTTATAGAAAACTCTTGTCAGTTAAAAATTTCCATCCCTCATCTATATCAAAATCGTCTCTCTAATTCATTGGGTCTCCTTACTCAAGAAATCATTTTGAGAAGCAATGAATGCTCAATAATTAATTTTCCATTGCAGGGTTTGTTATCATTCAGGGATGTGGCTGTGGACCTCTCACAAGAGGAATGGGAATGTCTAGACTGTGCTCAGAGGGCTTTGTACATGGATGTGATGTTGGAGAATTACAACAATCTACTTTTTGTGGGTAAGAATTCCCTTCATAGAATTCTGTACTCATCTTTTTTATTTCCCTACTGTGTGTATCTGTAAACTCTCTGAATCTAGAAAATCCCAGAGATGAGGGACATTTTGCTTACCAGCACAATTTTTTAATGGTGCTTCATTTACATTTTCTGTGTCATCTGGAAGAGTAGCAAATGCTATATTCACCGTGATCGCTTTAGCCTGCCTATCTAATATACAAATAACATCAAAGAGAAAAGAATATTGAATTATGTGGGCATGGAAGTATATTATGGTACTTATCATAATTAGAATATGTCCCTTCTGTTACTGGATGTAACTCCAGCTATTTCTTATTATGAACAGTGCAAAACGTTTCAGACAAAGGGGTGTTAATTATGAGACTATTGCTTCGTTTACTCATTTTGAGATAAGATTGCTCTGCTTAGTAATGGCACAGCATGCTTTTACTATTTACATTTTGGAGGGAGAAGGGAGAGGACATGCTGAATTCCTGATGAGTTGCAAGTTATGAGAGTGTCTCAAAAACAAGAAAAGTGGAAATATTCCCATATGATCCTTCACAGTGCTTTTTTCTCAAGTTTTTCCTTCCCCAATACATATGAATCCTATCATGGACAGTGTTTAAATAAGAATGAGATGGCTCTACACAGGAATGACCTAGGTCCTCTACATATGTATCACAGATGTTTAGTTTGGTCTGTTTGTGGGACTCCTAGCAATGGGATCAAAGCCTTTCCCTAATGCTTTGGCTTGCTATTGGGGAACTATTTCTCAGTGTTGGTTTCTTCCCAAGCCTTAATACAAAGGAAGGAGCTTAGATATACCTCAACTTGATATGCCATGCTTTGTTGACACTCATGGGAGACCTGCCTCTTTTAGAACACTAACAGAAGAAGAATCGGAGGGGGCCCAATAGGGAGGCAGGGAAAGGAAACTTGAAGAGAGGAGGGAAGGGAACCTACAGTCGGGTTACCAAATAAATGAAAAAGTATGAGTACACTACTATTGGTCCTGTGGTTTGATATATATCAGATAACAGATTATTTTGGTCTTTTTTTTTTTTTTTTTTTTTTTTTTTTTTTTTGAGACAGGGTTGCTCTGTGGGTTTGGATGCTGTCCTGGAACTAGCTATTATAGACCAGGCTGACAGGCTGGTGTCAAACTCACTGAGGTTTACTTGCCTTGTCTCCTGAGTGCTGGGATTAAAGGCATGTGCTACCAATGCCCCTTTGAGAATCTTATGAGCATCCATTTAGTGAATGTGAAACAGAAATTTCATCTGTTAGGAGTTCTGACTCTAAAAGTCACTAGTTTATATGTCATAGAAAACCTAAGAAGACATCAGGTATTGAATCTGTTACTCATGCATTCATTGCTATTAATCACAATTGTACTCATTTTTTAGAGAACCATCACATATGTCCTAAGGATGAGAAGGTCTTGCATGAGGAGACAGAGCATTTTATCCATGATCATGCAAGTATCCAAGAGGAAACTTACAAATGTAGTGAGCTTGTCAAAGTGGTTCTTGAATCCTGCCTTCATACACCTGATGACACAAGTGATCCTGTAGAAAATTACAGTAAGTACAGATTTGGAAAACACAGAGATGCTTCTGTCGTAACCTTAAATCTCAACAGACACAAAAATGGGAATGCTGGAGAAGAACCTCACAAATGTGAAGACTATGTGACTTGTTTAAATTTGTTTTCTGTCATTAGCCAAAATGAACGATATCACACAGGCGTGGAAGAACACAAAAATGCAGAGTCTGATAAATCTTTTGTCTGTGAAAGAGAAATGACACTGAAAGAAACTTATAGTGGGAGGAAACCACACCAATGCAGGAAATGTGGAACATGCTTCAAGACTCACTCCAGCCTCATTAGGCATCAGAGAACCCATATTAGACAGAAACCTTATAAATGTACAAAATGTAGTAAATCACTTCTGCATTCTTTACAACTCAAGGTACATTACAAAATCCATGCTAGAGAAACAGTCTACTTATGTACAGAATGTGGTAAATGCTTTGCTCATAAATCAAACTTTAGAAGACATTACAGAATACACACTGGACAGAAACGTTACAAATATAATGAATGTAACAAATCCTTTTTTCGTTCCTCATCTCTAAGAATCCATCAGAGAAGACATACAGGAGACAAACCTCATAAATGTAATGAATGTGGCAAACGCTTTATCACAAGCTCTCTTCTCAAAAGGCATCAGCAAATACATACAGGAGAGAAATCTTACAAATGTAGTGAATGTGACAAATGCTTTAACACAAAAAAACTATCTTAGAAAACATTACATAGTCCACACAGAAGAGAAACCTTACAAGTGTAGCAATTGTGATAAATGTTTTACCCAGAAGTGCAGTCTTAAAATTCATCAGACAATACATAGAGGAGAGAAACTTTACAAATGTAGTGAATGTGACAAATCCTATAACACAAAATACAAGCTTGGAAACCATCACAGAGTCCACACAGGAGAGAAACCTTACAAGTGTATTGAATGTAACAGATCTTTTGCCCAGAAATGTTATCTTATAAAGCATCAGATAACACATACAAGAGAGAAACCTTACAAATGTACTGAATGTGAAAAATCTTTTGCTCAAAAAACAGTACCTTATAAATCATCAAGGAATACATACAGGATAGAAACCTTACAAATGTACTGAATGTGACAAATCTTTTGCCCTGAAACATTATCTTAGACAGCATCAGAGAATACACAGAGAGGTGAAAGCTTACAAATGTAATGAATGTCATAAATCCTTTTCCTTGAGACAACATCTTAGATGTCATCAAATAATTCATTCAGGAGAGAAGCCTTATAAATGTTGTGAATGTGACATGTCCTTTGCCCAGAAAGGGCAACTTAAAATTCACCATAGAATACATACAGGTGAGAAACCTTACAGATGTAGTGAATGTGTCAAATCCTTTAATGCTAAAGGGAATCTTACAGTTCATCATAGACTACATACAGGTGAGAAACCTTACAGATGTAGTGAATGTGACAAATCCTTTACCCATAAAGGATCTCTTACAAAACATCAGATAATTCACACAGGATAAAACCCTTACTATTGTAGAGAACGTGACAACCTTTTTGGTTGCCTCACATCTTAGGGGACATCTGAAAACTCATATACATGAGAAAAATTACATAATGTGTTGAGTGCTAGAGATCCTTTATATGAAAAGAGAAGCTTGGAACTCAACAGAGAATACATACATTTGAGAAACTTTAGAATGCATCGAATTTGACAAGCCTTTCTCTCAGAATATGTTGCAGGATATTTGATTGTACTCTGGAACCTGAATGTTAATAATATCAAAGTTGGATGAGGTTGGAGTCCAGAAGTACTTGACAGGAAATAGGCAGAGTATATGGAGGTGCATGGGAGACACAGGCACAGGCGGAATAGGTAGTAACTTAAGAGTTTTTCACTCTTTTTGGGTTGAGATGTTGTAGGGACACTCTTGCTGGGTCTCTAGCCAAAGAGGAAGGTCAACTGGTTGCTTCTCACTCTCTGAACCGGCAGGTTTTCACCCCAAAATCTAACTCCTGAGTGTGTGTAAGGAAATAAAACAGTAGAGACTTAGTTAAAAACTACATATGGTGTACTAGATATGGTTTCAGCATGTTAGAGACATCAGTCCCTGCCTCCCTGGTGACACACTTTCTCATAAAGCCACACTCCCTATTGGCGAAGCATTTAAATGAGAATCCATGGGGACATTATCTATTCAAAGACCATAATTGATAGTATGAGAAACCTTTGATCTATAATCACCCAGAGTGTTCATATGGAAGAGAAAACTGACAAATATACAAGGAAAAGTCTTTACCTAACTCTCAGTTTTAAGAAAACATCTGAAAATTCATACCAGCAGAAAAGTTTCCATGGGAAAAAAAATCGGCATGTGTTTTAACTAAGCTCTTGTCTTAGCTACACTTTGATTTCACATTAGAGACTCATGAACATGAAAAACTTGTGAAAGCCCATAAGTTATATAAAAATCATAGAAATCATGAAGAGTTTATGCAAACAGAAATTTGAAGATACAAAAATGGAGGGCAGTTTCATTAATACTTTTTAGTTGTTCAACCTCAAATACTTCATAATGACTACAAAGCAGAGGAACTTGAAGTATATGCTGCTGTGTTATAGTTTCCTGGATATTAGAATGATACCATCTGAAGTGAAGCTGATTAAGGCAGTAAATAGCACAACATTTTGAAGAAATCCCTGGAACTCAGATGACTCCACGTTCTTGAATGTAGAAACTCAGCCAAGGTATGCACCTGAAAAGAGGATTTTGGCTATCAAAATAGCATGCTCCATGTGTGCATAATTAATTAGCTGTATCACATGCTGGTTTTGAATTTCATGATAGCAACTGTGTTTGAGTCTGGTAAACAACTGCTTCTCCATATTCCTGTACTTAATTCCAATAAAGCCCATGAACTGAAAACACTGGACTTGATACTGTTTTCAGTTTCCATTTGGACTAAGTAGATGCACATGCATTTTGCATCTCCCCAGGCAATGTGTGTCATTAGACATGTGTTGAACCCATGGATTGTTCTTCCAAACCAAACCAGGCACTTGGTAATAGAGTCACAGTTCCCAAACTGGGGCTTGTGAGCCCTTTGAGATTTAAAGACCCTTTTCACAGTGGTTTCCATTTTCATTGGTTTTAGCAACTGAGATATCATGCCTGTTGTCTCTATGTGGGCCTGCCCACATCAGAGTGCTTGGGACTGTATTAAAAGGACAGAATAAAATAGAGCTATAAAACTGTCAGTGACATTGTTACATTCTTCCTGACAGCCTGGCCCCACTACCGCATCAGCCAAAAAAAAAAAAAAAAAAAAAAATACACAAAGATTTTATTAATTATAAATATGTTGGCCAATCACTAGAACCATTTATTGGCTAGCTCTGTCTTAATTATTAACCCATTTCTATTAAGGATTTCTACATGGTCTTTTCTTACCAGAGAATGCTTCATTTGGGCCCTCTGTTTCTGGGGATCCCATGGCACCTCCTCTCTGCCTATACTTTCTAGAATCTTCCTTGTCCTAGACCTGCCTATCTAATGTTTTGTTTTGCTTTGCTTTGATTTGTTTGAGACATGGTCTTTCAGTATTGCTTTATTGCCTATCCTCGAACAAGCACTGTAGACCAGGCTGATCTCAAATTCAGAGATCCAACCTGCCTCTGCCTCCCAAGTGCTGGTACTAAGGGCATATGCCACCAACACATGGCAATTTGCCTATTTTGCTGCTCTCTTGGCCACAGTATTTAATTCATCAACCAATAAGAGGAACATGTACAGAAGACTATACATCTAACAGGACTGTGTCCCTCAATATGTGTGGACTCACAATACAGAAAAACTTCAGTGACCTTCAGAAAAATCCTACCCATGGGCACATATTACAAACCATTCTGGGATCCTTGTGTCACGCTATTACTTATCACCCTGTCTGACAAAAGCCAAGGAATGAGTGGAATTTCTATTCCATTTCTAAAAGCCTTTATTTAAGACTAATATGGTAGAAATCCTAAAATACTCATATAAAACAAAACTCAATAAATGGATTTGCTAAAGATTCATCTTCAGCTTAATTTCATTCGTAAGTTCATCCATAAAATATGTAACTTTGGAGCTTTGATGACATTATGAACAAGAGCCAATAAATATATGCTCATTTATACTTTAAGAATCCCTAAAGGTGTGCTGGAAAACAAATTCAACATATAGAGTAGGTATGAGAAAGTATCTAGTTGACTCCAAAGTGTTACAATAGAACAGTGATACTAAAGCCACGAGTCAGAAATTTTATACCTAGATAACTCAGTGTATTGGAGATAACAAATCCATATCATTACATATTTATCCATGGATTTTCATTACCAGAATAATGTCATATTCAAGGCATGAGGAAATATTGTTAGGGAATATTTTCTCATCTGATCTCAGAAGCTAAGCAGGGTCGGGACTGGTTAGTACTTGAATGGGAATATTTTAGGGGCTGAAAATATGGCTCAGCTGTTCAAGGCTAGGCTCACAATAAAAAATATTAGAATATTTTTTGTGTTGTCAGTATTGGAGTTTACTGATACAGAAGCTCATGGTTAATATAATCTTTTATTGAAATTGTCAATAGATGATTTCTATCAATTGCTGCTGCATTATCATTTTGGACCTGAGAGAAGAGACAGCATTGGAGATTGCAGCAATCAGGAGACTATGGACATTCTAATATCAAGTGTTCAGTGTATAGAGAATATTCTGCTTGATAACATTGAAGTCAGTATGCAAAATCAGTACAGACTTCAAATAGCATGGTAAATTTTTAAACGTGTACGCAATGAGAAGTCATTTCACACTGAGCCTGTGACATTATTGCTTTCTTCATTCTGTAACCATTTATAAACATAGCTCTTGTCTACAATGGTAGCAAGCCTATGGCAAGGCTGTGTAAACTGCATCCAGTTTAGCCTTAGGACTGGAGCTGTGTGGAAAAGAGCATGGTCAGAGATGGTCATATGCAAATGAGCGAGGCAGGGGAGATCACCATATCAGAAAGGTGAGGTGATTGGAAGGTGATTGGAAGACTCAGCATTTGTGGAAGAGCACGGTAAGAGCCAGATTTCACGAGCCTCAGGCCCGTCCTAGAGGGAGTTTCACAGACTACACTTTTGGGAACTAAACAGGCTTTATATAGGATCTTGCAGTGCAGGAAATGCCACTTATGTTGGAGAATGCCATATGGAACAGTGTAAAGATGTCGTGAGTACATTCAGCTAGAGAAGAATCATCTACAAAAGGATTTGCTGTTATCACTTGTTGTCGGTGCCCATAATAGATGGCTGTCCTCCATCTTGGCACAAGAACAGAGAGTTCAAAACTGTCCTCAGCAAGTCACATGACCTAAAGGAAAAAGGTGTGGCTACAGTATTCTAAATAACAACAAACAGTCTGAGTGGCTACTCCTGACCCTCAAGGCTAGGGAACAAGAAGTCGAATCTAAGGTGTGGTTACTGAACCCTTAGAGTAAGGAGGAAGAAGTCTATTCTGTATGTATAATACCATGTTCTGCTTTTGGTTAAGGTGGTGGAAAATAAACTTGTGGCAATACAATATTAACTGAATCTACCGCCCTGATTTTATTCTGTGTCTCTTTGTCTTTTATTTACTGACTGTAGCTAGCCTTTCTCTCATTCACACACCCTGACTCAGGTACATACTTGGGGCTGCTTGGCTTGGTCCGATTGCAGCCCCGAAAAGATGACTTCCAACAACTTGTATCCAAGCATGGTTCTCATACTATCTGGCACTTAAAAAGATCTTGAAAATTAAATTAATGGATGCTTTCTAACTCCATTGTTGGATCCCTTGCTGATTTAAGCAAGTAGCTTTTGCTGCTAGAGATTGGGCATATCCTGGGGAACTGGGATGGACATGTAAAATAAATAAATAAATAAACAAACAAACAAACAAACAAACAAATAAAGGCTGCAGATGAATCTTCAGCAAGCACTTTATTGAGTTTTATTTCATATGAATATTCTAGGATTTCTACCATAATCCCCCCCCCCTTTTTTTGGTTCTAATTTAGCTTCTTTTTTATTTAAGTTATTTATTTTTTAAAAATTTTACATGTTGATCTCAGTTCCCTCTCCTTCCCACCCTCTCATGCACCATGACCACCCTCCCGTCCCCCCCCCACATGTAGGGCTATGCCATACAGGTGGGGTCATGTATATCTGACAAGTAATTTGAAGTAGGGACTAAGACTTCTCTTCTGTCACTAGGATAAGGATTTCTACCATATTATTATTGGGTAAAACATTTTAGTAAAGGAATAGAAATTCCATTATTTCGTGGGGATTCTAAATGGGAGTGATAAGTTACAGCATGACACAGGTAACTCACAATGGTCTGTAGAATATACCCATGGGTAATATTCTTCTGAAGGTAACTGGAGTTTTCCTATATCATGATTTTAGACATATTCAGGAAGATAGTCCAGTTTGTATGATGTCTGTCACTGACAGATGTATAGCCAGATTATAGCAAGGAAGAAACCAGCTTTGTATCTGAGCTTCATTCTATATATGTGGAACCTAGATAACTTAATCAAGTCCTGCCAAGAATTTTAACCTGGAGCAATTAAGTACAATCTTCTCCTGTTTGTAGACTCAAGTGCCTCTTCTCTAATATAGTGGCTACAACTTTCCTAATGCTTCAAGATTTTAATACAGTCCCAAGCACTCTAAAGTGGGCAGAACCACATAGAGGCAACAGGCATGGTATCTCAGGTCATAAAACCATAGAAAATGGCACCCCCTAGGAAAGGGTTTTTTTAATCCCAAAGGACTCACACCCACAGGTTGAGAACTGTGATGCTATTATTAGGTACCTGTCTACAGAAAGTTTGGAGGAACAATTAACAGGTTCCCCACATGCATACTGACACACATTCCTGGGGGAGATGGAAAAAGCATACGCATCTACACACTCCAACGGAATACAGGATCAAGTCCAACTTTTTCAATCAAAGAGCTTTATTGGAATTAAGTACAGGAATGTGGAGAACCAGAGCATAAGGGCCTCAACCACAGTTGCTATCATGAAGTTTAAAACCAGCATGTGATACAGCTTATGAATAATGCACACTTGGAGAACACTACACATCTGTAGGAATATCTCCAATTAGAGAACATGCTATTTTGATAGCTAAAATCTTCTTCTCAGGTTAATGACTTGCCTGAGTTTCTTCATTCAAGAACTCTGAATCCTCTTGGTTTCAGAGAACTCTTGAAAATGTTATGAATCCTATTTCCTGACTTAATTAGCTTCCCTTACCAATAACCAGGAGACTATTCCACAACATCATATGCATCAGGTTTCTCTACTCTGTTTCCATTATGAAGTATTTCAGGTTGAACAACTAAAAATTTTAATGAAAACTGTCCTCCATTTATATTTATTCAAAATTTCAGTCTGAATAAACTCTTGATGTTTTCTAAAATTTTAACAAAACTTAAAAGGCTTTCACAACCTTTTTATGACCATAATGATCCTGCAGTGTGAAGTCTCAAATGTACCTATGAAGAGAGCTTGGTTAAAGCACATGCCAATTGTTTCCTTTGGCAACTGTTAAGCAGGTATGAATTTTCAGATGACTTTTTTAGGTCTGAGAGGCAGGCAAATACTTTTCCTTTTACATTCTTAAGTTTTCTCTCACATATGAATAGCTGGGGTGCTTTTGAAGATAAAGCGTTTCTCATACTAACATTTGTGGTGATTTGATTAAGTATATCACTCATGTTTGAATGCTTTGCCTATAGGGAGAGTGGCTCTATGAAGAAGTGTGTCACCATGGAGGCAGAGACTGAGGTCTCAAACGTGCTCAAGCCATACCTAGTACACAGCTCAATTTTTCCTGCCTCGGGATCAAGATGTAGGACGCTCAGCTCCTTCTCTACTACCATGTCTGTCAGCATGTCACTACATTTCCCATAATGAAGATAATGGACTAAATTAATGAAACTGTAAACCAACTGCAATTAAAAGCTTCTCTTTAAAAGAGTTGCTCTGGTCATGGTGTATCTTCAGAGCAATACAAGCCAAACTAAGAAAGATAATTACGACTGTAAAGTTTCTATTTTGAATGAGTTATATATATATGCTAAAAATGAGTAAAAAGCCAAGGATTTCTCATATTTGCTATATGTCAGATTTCTCTTCTGTATGCATTTACTGATGTGTGTTGTTCTGCTCTCAGCTTAGAGGTATCACCTGACTGTGGTCCCACAGCCCTGACTGAAAACTGTGTTGCTCAGGCGGAGCCCTACTGGGTCTTGTTGCCATTGGTTCTGCAATAGTCACAATAAGTAGTTTTAAACTAAGTCTTAATTGCTTTATTTAGAATATGGCTCAGGAGTTAGATTTTGGGGTGAAAACCTACCAGTTCAGAGGGCAGGAAGTAACAGCTAACTTCCTCTTTGGCCAGAGGCCCAGCATAAAAGAGTGTCCATTGAAACATATAAAATCAAAAAAGAGTGAAAAACTCCAAGTTACTTCCTACTCTTACTGTGAGTCTTATCTGTCTGCCATGCACCTCCATACACTCTGGATATTTCTGGTCAACTAGTTCTGAACTTCAACCCTGACACAAGTTTGATACTATTAACACTAAGATTTCAGACTACAATCACATACTTACAACACATTCTGAGAGATGAGTCAACACTAAAGGTTTTTTTTTCACATTTGCTGCATTATAAAGTCTCTCAAATATATATATATATATATATATATATATATATATATATATATTCTCTGTTGCGTTCCAAGCTTCTCTTTTCATGTAAAGGATTTAGCACTCACCGTATTATGTAAGTTTTCTCACCTATGCGTTTTCATATGTCTTCTAAGATATGAGCCATCCATAAAGGATTTATCACATTCACTACATTTGTAAGTTTTCTCACCTCTGTGTATTCTCTGATGAATTGTAAAATATCCTTTCTGGGTAAAGGATTTACCACATTCATTACATTTGTAAGGTTTCACTCCTCTATGAATTCTCTGATGAATATTAAGATGACTTTTCTGAGTATAGCATTTGTCACAATCACTACATTTGTAAGGCTTCTCTCCTGTATGACTACTTTGATGATGTGTAAGATGGTCTTTCCTGGAAAAGGACTTGTCACATTCACTACATTTGTAAGGTTTCTCTCCTGTATGGATTCTCTGATGAATTTTTAGACTGCCTTTTGAGGAAAAGGATTTTTCACATGCACTACATTTGTAAGGTTTCTCTTCTGTGTGGATTCTCTGATGTGTTTTGTCATCAGAATTTGTGGTAAAAGATTTGTCCCATTCAGTGCAAGGTTTCTCTCCTGTATGCATTCTATGATGTCTTCTCAGAGACAAGGAACCATAGGATTTGTCACATTCACTACTTTTGTAAGGTTTCTGTCCAGTGTGGATTCTGTAATGTCTTTCCAAGTTTGATGTATGAGAAAAGCACTTATTATATTCTGTACAATCACAGAGTTTTTCTCTTCCATGGATTTTGTAATGTTCTTTCAGTTGAAAAAAGTGAAGAAATGATTTACTACATTTTGTACATTTATAGGGTTTCTCTAGTCTAGTATAGGTTCTCTGATGCCCAATGAAGCTTGAGTAAGTCTTGAAGCATTTTCTACCTTTCCAGCACTGGTGTGGTCTCTTCCCATGGTCTGTTTCTTTCAGTGAGATTTCTGTTTTAGAGTCAAAAGCTTTATCATACTCAGTACTTTTGTGTTCTTCCATATGTCTATGAACTCTTTGATTTTGACTAATGATGGAACACAAATTTAAGCAGGTTATTCTCTCTTCATATTTGCATGGTTCTTCTCCAGCATTCCTAGTTTTTGGTCTGTTGAGATTTAAGGTGGCAAAACAGGCATCCCTGTGGTTTCCAAATCTGTACTTGTTGTAATTATCTGCAGTGTCACATGTGTCATAAGGTGTACATTGCCAGGATTCACGAATCACATTGGCAAGCTCATTACATTTATAAATCTTTTCTTGGATATTTTGATGATCATGGATAAAGTGCTTTGTGTCTTGATGGAATTGCTTCTCACATTTACCACTATTGCAATGGTTCTCTGAAAAATTAGTAAAATTGTGAATAATAGCAATGAATGCATGAGTAACAGATTCAACAACTGATGTTTTCCTAGGTTTTCTATGACATATAAACTAGTAACTTTCAGGGACAGCACTATTAACAGAGGAAATTTTCCGTTTCACAATCACTGGCAATCTGACCTACATCAAACCACTGGGACTAAAATAACATACACATACTTTTCTTACATTATGTTTTCCCACATTTTCACATCCTGACTGCAGTTTTCCTTCCCTCCACTCTTCCTGTTCCATCTCCCTGCCTCCACATTCTTCCCCATCAACTCCTCAGTTGTATTCTAAAAGAGGCAGGCCTCACATGGGTGTCAACAAAGCATCTCAAATTAAGTTTAGGTATATCTAATCCCCTTCATTTCTATTAACGCTGTGTGAAGGAACCAACTCTGAGAAATAATTTCCCAATAGCAAGCCAAAGCATTAGGGAAGGACTTGATCCCAATGCCAGGAGACACACAAATAGACCAAACTAAACAACTGTCTTACAGATGTAGAGGACATAGGTCAGTCCTGTGTAGAGACTTCTCATTCTTATACAGAAACTGTACCATGTAGCTGGTCAGACACATAGTTATTTGGGAAGGAAAAAACTTGAGAAAGAAGCTCTATGAAGGATTACATGAAGCATGTTTCCCTGCTTTTGCGTTTCAGAGAGTCACATTACTTGAAACACATAACCCAGATTGGCATGGAACTCACCATGGACTCTCAATTATCCTGCAAAGTAAAAATAATAAAATCATGCTGTGCCTGTACTGAACGTAGCAATCATATCCCAAAATAAATAAATAAGCACAACAGCATTCTCGGGACACACAGCACATTCTATAAAATCTTTTGCATTGTTTATAATTACAAACAGGTGATTATGGGAGTTAAATCCAGTAACAAAATAAAATTATTCTAATTCCATGCAGAGAAAATTCAATATTCTTTGATCTTTGAAATATCCTTTGACTAATACATAGGAAGGCTAAAGAGATCACAGAGAATATAGCATTAGTTTCTATTCTATAGAACAGGGAAAATGAGCTGGGTTCGGTGGCCCATGCCTTTAATCCCAGCACTTGGGAGGCAGAGGCAGGCAGATCTCTGTGAGTTCGAGGCCAGCCTGGTCTACAGAGTGAGTTCCAGAACAGCCTCCAAAGCTACACAGAGAAACCCTGTCTGGAAAAAAACAAAAAACAAAAAACAAAAAACAAAAAACAAAAGAAAACAAAAACAAACAAACAAAAAAAACAAAAAAAAAAAAAAACGAAAAAAAGAAAACATAAATGAAGCACCATTAAAAGGTTATATTGGTAACCACAATTTCTCTCATTTCTGGCATTTTCTAGTTTCACATAGTTTATAGATACACAAAGTAGGGAAATCAAAAGGATGAATCAGGAATTCCATGAGAAGAGAATTCTTACCCACAAAAAGTACATTGTTGTAATTCTCCAACATCACATCCATGTACAAAGACCTCTGAGCACAGTTTAGACAGTCCCATTCCTCCTGTGAGAGGTCCACAGCCACATCCCTGAATGATAACAGACCCTGTAATGGAAAGTTACATATTTTCCATTCAGAGCTTCAAAAAATGATTACTTTGAAATCAAACAAACAAAGTAATGAATTAGAGAGATGTTTGTGATATTGATGAGGCACAGCAATTTTTAAAGGACAAGAGTTTCCTAGCAGTGCTGTATTGCTACTCTTTCAAAGACAATGTATAGTAAGACATAATGTAATGTTTACATCCATTGGGTCTCTCTCCTCCATGAATTTTCTGATGTTTTCTAAGACCCGAGTAGCAGATAAAAGATTTATCACAATCATTAATATGAATAATTAGTCTCCAGTTTGCTAATGTCTGAAAGTCCTTGAAAATGTAGTTTCATTCCCAGCACATTCATGGCACCACAAAACAGAATTTCATATCAGATCCATGATCCAATGCTACACGTCATGGGCAGGACTCATAAACAGAACACGTACTTTCCAGCAAATATATGGAAATACATTAAAAATTACCATTTAATTTTAATAAAGATACTTTCTAAGCTATTTAGAGTCTACTGTACTTTTAATCTCTGTAAAAACAGGATGATGTAATAGTCTTGCCATCAGAAAACTTTTGGAGAATACAACATGCACATTTGAGGTCTAAATTCAGGAATTTTCCTTTATGAAATGTGTGTTGGTATCAACCATAAAATTGCTGTTATGTTTCAGATGGTAAAGTTATAATGAGCAAAAGTGTGCTTTGAAGTTGTACACCTGTTGACCTTGCTTAAATATGGACCCTAGATCAGTGCTCTCTGAAACTGGGTGTAAGGAGTAAGGTTTTTTTCCTTTTGCCACTGGTCTTGTCCCACCACAGCTCCAGCCCCAAGTAACGCATAGAGACTCTGTATTTGATATTATGCTGTTGGCCAGTTATTTGTTTCTATCAGCTAGCTCTGTCTTAAGTATTAACCCATTTCTATGTATTTCCATGTGGTCTTACCCAGAGCGGAGGAACGGCGGTTCTGTTCTCTCCAGACTGTCCATCTTGACTCCTCCTTACTACTTCCTCTTTCCTCCTTGTCTCCTAGTCCCTCCTATCTTCCTTTCCTATTGGCCAACAGTGCTTTATTCATTAACCAGTATGAGAAACATATATACATAATGGCATCTCCCATCATCTCCTCTTTTCTGTCTAAATAAAAAGAAATGTTTTAACCTTAACATAGCAAAATATATCACACAACAGTTATCAAATAAGAATCACAGTTAACACTATTTAGTCCATTAACATTTAGTAAGATTTAAGAAAATATTCCATCATCTATTCTATCTTTGTGAGTCTACAGTCCTATATGTAACTTATCTTTAACCCTAACTAATGAAAACTATAACCATAACTATCTGTCTTCAACTCCTTCAAAGACTACAGAAGGGTAGTATATAAACTCTAGAAATGACAGAAACATCATGCCTTGTCAGTCACCTGAAGTTCAGCCTCCTGGGTTATGTAGAAGGTATGGCAAAGGCAGACAAAGGAGTGTAGATCGACCAGAGACAAGCAAGGAAACCCTTTAACACCAGGAAACTCCTTGGGGGCCCTCTCAAAGGCCCCCATGTCACAGGTGTTTCAAACATTCCCAGTCACAGTGGAGACAATCTCCCACAGGACAATTAAAAATTCTGTGCCTATTATAAAAACTCATACCGCTCTGGATGACAAACTAGTGCGGGAAGTTGAATCAAACATGACAAAAGGAAATAAAAAAACTTATATTTTGGTAAACCTCTTTAAATAGTCAAAGGACTAGATTGAAGGTTAAGATGAATAATAGAATGTTTGACAGGTTACTTGACACAGGGGCGGATGTAACTATCATAACTAATAAATTTTGGCCTTGAAGATGGCCCCTGCATGAGGTAAATGTTCAATTCTTAGGGATTGGAACCCTGTCTTAAGTAAAACAGAGCACGAGATGTCTTGAATGTATAGGACCAGAAGGACAGAGAGGAAGGTTTACACCATATGTGGCTGATGTAGTGATAAATTTATGGGGTCGTGATTTATTAAAGCAATGGAATACACAGATTAACATTCCTCCAGTATTAGATAGGAACCATAAACGACCTCATGATTGTGGAAAAAATATTATAAAGTACTATACAAGACAGATACCAAATATCCAGCCTGTACAAAAACAAAATACAAGTGCTAAACAGAGGAACCAAAAGCCCTACCTTTAAAATGGCTAACAGAGGAACCTGTCTGGGTAGGACAATGGCCTATGACCTCTGAGAAGTTAGAAGCTTTAGAAAGCCTGGTTCAGAAACAGCTAAATGCTGGACATATCGAGGAGTCAACCAGCCCTTGGAATTCTCCTGTATTTGTTATCAAAAAGAAATCTGGTAAATGGAGAATGCTTACAGACCTGAGAGCCATCAATAAAGTTATCCAGCCAATGGGCTCTCTACAGCCTGGAATGCCCTTGACTTCTTTGATACCCAAAGAATGGCCTATTATAGTTATTAATTTAAAGGATTGCTTCTTCACTATACCTTTACAAGAACAAGATAAAGAGAAATTTGCCTTCATGGTACCTAATTACAATAATTCTCAACCGGTGAAGAGATATCAATGGAAGGTTTTGCCATAGAGAATGCTAATAGCCCCCATCCTGTGCCAGTATTTTGTACAAAAACCGCTAGAAATAATTTGTAAACAGTTTCTACAATCCATAATCTGTTATTACATGGATGATATATTGTTACCTGACTCTAAAGGAGAAATATTAGAAAAAATGTTTGAGAAAGTAAAGGAAGTTTTAACTCACTGGGGATTACAAGTTGCACCTGAAAAAATACAAAAAGGAGAGTCTATCAACTACTTAGGATATAAAATAGGTCTACAGAAAATTAGATCACAAAAAGTACAGATCAGGAGAGATCGCTACCAGACTCTTAATGATCTTTCAAAAATCACTACGAGAGATTATTGGAGTATAAGGTCATGATTTAAAAAACTTGAAAATGGCCCTAAAAGGAGACAAGGACTTGAATAGTCCATGAATACTATCAGCTGAAGCTTAAAAGGAATTACAATGGGTAGAAAAGAGGATACTAGAAGCACATGTGGACCGTGTGGATCCAAACCTAGACTGTATTCTGGTTATATTACCATCTAGAGAATATCCTTCAGGGATTTTGATGCAGAGAGAAGATATCATATTACAATGGATATTCCTAGCACATAGACAGAATAAAAAACTAAAAACATATATACACGTGGGCGCCATATGTAAGGAGTAAGGTTTTTCTTCCCCGCCAGTGGTCTTGTCCCACCACAGCTCCAGCCCCAAATAATGCACAGAGGCTCTGTATTTGATATTATGCTGTTGGCCAGTTAATTGTTTCTTATCAGCTAGCTCTGTCTTAAGTATTAACCCATTTCTATGTATTTCCATATGGTCTTACCCAGAGTGGAGGAACGGCGGTTCTGTTCTCTCCAGACTCTCCATCTTGACTCCTCTTACTAATTCCTCTTTCCTCCTTGTCTAGTCCCTCATATCTTCCTTTCCTATTAGCCAACAGTGCTTCATTCATTAACCAGTATAAGAAACATATATACATAATGGTGTAACGAGTAGGGTTTTTCCTCCAGCCGCCAGTCTTGTCCCGCCACCGCGCCTGCCCCAATTAATGCACACTGAGACTCTGTATTTGATATAATCTGTTGGCCCATTACTAGTTTCTTATTGGCTAGCTCTGTCTTAATTATTAACCCATTTTTGCTGATCTATGTATTTCTCTTACTGGGGAGCCGGCCAGCATACTGCTTTCTCCAGACTCTCCACCTTGACTCCTTCTTACTACTTCCTCTTTCCTCCTTGTCTCCTAGTCCCGCCTATATTGCTTTCCTATTGGCCAACAGTGCTTTATTCATTAAACCAGTATGAGAAACATATACAGAATGACATCTCCCATCATAATGGCATCTCCCATCAGCTGGGTTCACATGACTCTATTCCAAAATGCTCAGTTCAGATAATGAGGCCTAGGTACAATGCTGCACCCTGATGGAATACAGAGTTCATGAAAAATTCAATTGAGGTTTTTCTTCAGACTCGGGATTATGAAATCATTGCATATATCCAATGCTCCAAATGTCACGTAAAAATCAAATATTTTGTGAGGCTATGTTAGGAGGAATATTTGCAACCGTGAAGTAAATAGAAAAGCAGAAATAGACAACATTAATGTTACTTGAATTTTTCTAAAAGTTGACACAAACCATCCTAAAAACAACAATTTCATGACCTCTACTGTAGAATATTATGAAATATACATGTAAATACAAAGCATATATGACAGTGCATTCAGATGAAGAAATGTTTTCTCGTATCAAAACAAATGTATTCAATAGAATGAGAAATATTCTAACTGTTCATTAATTTTGAACATATTAGTGCTTTTTGTGAATGACAAAAATAAAACTTAAACCTCTTAATTTCAACTTTATTTTTCTCATCCTTATTTGAGTTAATTCATCTCACAGGATTTTAGCATAGACATGTATTACTTGTGATTACTTCTTTATTTTTCAAAACTAGAATGCACAGTGTTGTATAATGTCACAAGTGTGCACCAGTCTGATAACATGACTCAGCAGTAAAAGGCACTTTCTGTTCTTCTAGAGAAACCTATTTTTATTCTCTCTAAACACATGGAAATTAACTACAACATCTGACTGCAGTGCATTGTGTTTGGTGCTGACCTCAGGGATCCAGGGGTATAAGGTATCATTCAGTGTACATAAAAATGAGCAGATAAACCCTCATGTACTTAAATAAAATATCATTGTAAAGAAAGAAATAGAAACATTGTCACAACTTCAGAATTTCAGAACTCTTCAGCAATTGGAAAAACATAAGCTAGAAAGGGCCTTCTGTCTCAAGAAGTAAAGAGTAATGTGATTTAGAGGGACATTTGTTTATGCTTGAAAATTGATGACTTATGTGTAGAACCAAGACACTACTTTCTAGAAAATTCTTACTAATATATTCCACATATTGCCATACAAATGTGGAGACAGCACTGCTTGGTCCCTTCTGCTAATGAAAGAAAAGATGAAGAAAAAATAAGAATTTTCTAAAGAGAGTTACACAATAGAAATCTCTCCTGAGACTCATACATTTCCAGTGTCACCACATGCCTCATCACTGTGTGACATAATATGACAAAAAGAGAAAACCAAAATACTGTAAACATCATTTCTTCACAGACACAACAACTTTCTAGTATGATAAGCCACATATTCCTTCCATCATCTGGGCTCTCTTAGGTGCTAAAATATTTACGATTAGGGTTCAGGATAGTGAGTCTTTTCTAATTCTACTCTTCTATAAAGTGCTCCATGACATGACTGAAAAGGTCCATGTAATAGTTATGTCCATGTTCTCAAGCCTGTTTCTGGAAAACTGTCCATTCCCCAAATGGAACTATTTGGCACATGAGACAATCCTTCCTCACTATTCAAACAGAATACAACTCCATTCTATGGAAAAATGGCCATCAATATATTTCTTGAGTGTCATATACAATAGCTTGTGTTTTAGAACTTTATACATCAAGTCTAAAGTCCATGGAATTTCATACCCTCACAGTATAAAATCAAGGAAAATATAATGGGACCAGTCCCTGCTACATAGTTGAAAGATTTAAAGACATAATCTTGAATATAAGAAAAGAAAAAAGCAGATAAATAAGGCAAAAATAAACATTTTCAACAACATTGACAGTGGTAGAGAATCAAAAAATCTAAATTATTTCAATAATAAGAACAATTTTCAGAGAAATGTGGATATCACACTGACCTGGAGAGCATTTATCACAAAAGCATTCATTGTTCTCTTTGCTCTTCTCTGAGTTTCTCACACAGGAAAAAATAAATAAATAAAAATAAAAACCTGGAATTCTTGTTGAAATTTCACATCTAGTTGTCAAAAACAGAAATCTGAAAAGAAAAGAAAACAACTCTGTTTTGGTCAATGCCATACCATACAAAAAGATCCCACAAAGCCAAAACGATATCAGAAATCTTGTCAACATTCTGACCACAAGAGAACATGAAAGGAAACATTTTGAGTGGTAAGAGAACATGACTATGAACCTTATCATTGTACCCAGAAACATAGGCTCTTAAAAATCATGCAGAAGCAAGGGTACATGAAGAAGGGTAGAAAATGACATATCATCCACTCAAGGCACACTGCAGATCATGATCAGAGGAAAAATTGACATAGAAATATCAGAGATAAAATAGCAATGGCAATCCAGGAAATAAGGCACTTTACAAAATGAATAGTTAAGTAGGGCAGCTTGGAAGTACAGTTTTATTTTCAACACACAAAACAGCAAACTACCATTTCTAACTAGAAGGAAGAAAATTACTACACCTCATATTACCCACAAAAAGATAGGAAACAAATCATGAATAAAAGCCCTATGATATGAAAATACCAGTAGAAAGGGATGTCATAAGAGAAACTTCAAGACATTTTATAACTCCCGGATGGACAATAAACTGGGGAAAACACTTTGTTCAGTAATTCTTTGGAAAATATACTCCCTGATTCAATAAAACATGAAGTGGTATTTTATGTGACTAATATCTAAAAATCTCACAGAGGATACCTGAGTTTCACATGGAAAGGCCACTCCTGATCAGGCCATTGGTAAAACAGAATATACAAAAATTTAAAAATTCCTTTAAAAAAAAAGAAAAATAATGTTTGCATTCACTAAATCAGGAGTAAGTCAAACATCATTTTACCCAGTGCCACTTTTCCCCCAGCATGCATAGGTACTATCAGGAAAAAACACAACCCAGTAAAGAACAGAGGAATGCAAGCAAGCAGCTTTTGGTTTACTGTCACGATTTTGCTATGATTTCCTGCTTAGAGAAGCTATTAGCATCAATTGCTTACACAAGACACAGAACCTGGTGCCCTGTCCTCAGTGGCAGCACAGGCCTTCAGGAAAGTTTGCTTTTCCCTGAGGATGAGCAAATGGGATGATTGCCTTTGTCATTATCTTCTCAGGGAAACAGAAACAGTAAATTTATGATCTTGGGTTAATAAACTGTGTTGAACATAAGTGCAAGAAATTTTAGAATCTTTTAGTGCAGGGTTAAATTAGGTTATTGCGTCTATCTGACAGTAAGGTAAAACTAGATCATGCTTATTCTTTCCACCCATCTGGGCAGGTATAAATCAACAGCTTTGGGTGTTTAGTAATTCTATGTTCTTTGATATCTGAGGATGTCTTAGATGGAATGTTTTTGCCTGTGCACTAAATACTGACCAAATGAATTTATAGGGATAATTGCAAGAAGACAGATTTCTGTAATTACATAGGAGATGGGAAGTAGGGACCTCATAGCGGGGTGCAGGTCTCACACATAGCTAAGGGGTGTAATCTGTAAATTAAGACCTGGGAATGGAAAACAAGCTTCACCTATAGCTAAGTTATATAATCAGTAAACCAAATGCGTGACAGAGATTGTGAATAGTAAATGATCAGATAGTGCTGAACTATGAGGAGCAAATCCCAAATTTGTTACAGAGAGGAATAAGATACAGGAAGAATCTACAGCAAGATTTTTTCGAGACAGGGTATCTCTGTATTGTTTTGGAACCTGTCCTGGAACTAGCTCTGTAGACCAGGCTGGCTTCGAACTCACAGAGATCTGCCTTCTTCTGCCTCCCAAGGGCGGGGACTAAAGGCCATCAATGCCCAGCTGAAACATCCACTTTTATTGGTAAGACTATAAGGCCAAAGATGACCTTCATATTGGTGTATTTCCATCACCCAGAACCACTAGCTCTGGTGGGTCATTTCAAGAAATGAAGGCAGTATAATTTCTGTGTGATCTCTTAGCTTGTAACAGAATTTCTTTGGACCCTTGAAGATTATTAAACTCTTTCTTTATTGGCTTCTCACTGATATCTTCACTTGTCTGTCTTCACAGTATTACTCAGCTGTTTTCATTGTAATAAATTTAACACATTGTCAAAACTTGTTTTGATCCTGGGAAGAAAGTTCATCTCTGTGCTTTCTCAAAATTTCACATCAATTCAGGATTACTGTTTCTGTTTTGCAGGATTTCCCCATCTTGACGGAAATTGTTATGCATCCTTACAGTGTAGAAATCTCCCTGTCAGTTATGTTTCCACATCTGACTGTGAACAAGAAAGCTGTGTCAGTGTTCACAAACCATGTGTATATTCTTACGTGTTCTATCTGCTGTTGCTTTTCACATTTATGTGGGTCAGTGAATAATTCATTGTTTCAAGAATCCAAAACTTCAGGGCTGGAGAGATGACTCAGAGGTTAAAAGCATTGGCTGCACTTCCAGAGGTCCTGAGTTCAATTCCCAGCAACCACATGATGACCCACAACCATCTATAATGAGATCTGGTGCCCTCTTCTGATGTGCAGGTGTGCATGCCAGCAGAATACGGAATACACATGATACATCTTTTTTATAAAAAAAAATCAAAACTTCAAGTAATAAGTCGATTCTTTTGTGAAATTTTTGCTCATTTGGTTGTTAAAGAATCATCACACTGACTTGAATGGTGGCTGCAGTACATTGGATTCTGACTGACACTGTCTCTAACTTCTTTTTGTTGCATTTTCTGCATAATCCGCTTGTTGAAATCTTGAGTATGGACAGTGACCAGGCAGAGATGGGATCTCTTCTTCATTACTTCTGGAGTTTATAATTTGAAATGTGTACTTACTGCTTTTCAGCATGCTTCATTCAAAATACTTGCTTGCTTATTTAAATGATTTTTATTTCTTTGCTTTTTTTCTTATTTAAATGATTTTTATTTCTTTGCTTTTTTTCTTTATTTTATGATACATTCTGGAATCAATTTCCCATAATAGGAAAAGCTGTGCTGTAGGCTGTTTCTTCAAACGTTGGAATTTAACATTTTCCACGCATATTTTTATTGCATTAATTTTTTTTTCAGTGCCAGCCTTCCAACTGGTACACGAATGTTTATGATCCATTGTATATATAGAATCAGAACCAGTATTATATTTTCTGTCCCAGTAGATACTTTCACCATTACCACTGGCTGATGAGGCTGACTAATATGCAACACCTGTGTGGGTGGGTGGGAGTGTTATCTTGGTGATATTCACAAGGTCAATGATACTGTTCTGGTTCATTGGTCTCTATCTCAACTCTTCTGGTATTTTCATGTTCTCTTGCTCTGCTGGCTCTGCAATCTGGAATAACCGCTGGGAAACTCAAGCTATCCCCTGGGATTGTTCTGTATTCTCTGTGCACCCTCAGTTTTCTCCTGACTATTTTTTGTGATTTGTATTCAGCTTATTTTTTTCCTTCGATGTTGCTTACATTCTTTCTCCCATATTGTGCCATACTTGCTGGGCTTTGATCCACATCTCTGATTTCATCTTTATGGCTGTGTGCTCATTTTTTCACTCAATCTCTGTATGTGACTAGTTATGAACCCCTGAAATAGCCATTGCACATTGCATACTAAGTGTCTTTAACAGAGAGCTGTAGAGATGGCTCAGTTTAAGAGCACTGGCTGCTCTTCCAGAGGACCAGAGTTCAATTCCCAGCAACCACATGGTGGCTCACAATGATCTGTAGTGAAATCTGGTGCCCTCTTCTGGCCTGCAGGTATACATGCAAACAGGACACTGCATACATAATAAATCTTGAAAAAAAAAAAAAAAAAAAAAAAAGCTTTCATGGACAGAAGCTGCTCCAGTTTATGGTGTGGGAAAAAAAAAAAAAGTTTGAGCATTTAACAAGCAGCATATCATGAATATATTAATTATTCTCTATGTCAGGTCACCCTCCAACTCATAGATTCTTGGCCAGATTTCCAATATATTGCAAATGTGCCTTTCTCTAAAACTGCCCAAAAATTTAAAAAGAATGTATTTCATTACACAGAAATCTATCCTTCCGCTATGACACTGTTTTAGGAAAGCAAGAGAAGCACTAACCAAGCAGTAACACAGCTTTAGTGTCTAGTGCTGACACACACAGGATCACCTGATGTACATCTAAACTCTGAGCCTGAGTTAAGTTAAACTGAATGTTTTATATCCATCTAGTTCTCTGTTTGCCTCCCAAACTTCTACACACGGCAATATCACAGAGACACAGATTCTGACTGGCTCTATTATGTTTGTTCACTAGAGTTTGCTAAATTTTCTCATATGCAGAAACCTCTCTGCAAGGAACAAAATACAGCAGAACTCGTACTTCTGTTGGTCAATGAGAGGATATTCATTACAGAGAAGACTTAATTGGACACCACAAGGGTAATGACCAGCTAGTTTCTGATCTTTCCTTGTCACTCTCAAGATCCTGTGCTCCTTCAGTGTCAAGACATACTTTACCTGGCAGGTAGGTAGTATGTATGACACAGAGGTTCCACATCCAGGTGAGGTCATTGATACCTCTCCTCCCCCACAAATACACACAGTACGTTTTGGCACTTTGAACACTATCAACGAAGAGTATAAAATATGTCTTAGACACTATCCTGCTGTTACTAGTGGTCTGTTGTCTTCTCACCATTACCAAGTTGAATGAAAATCACCAACTGATGCAGAACGTGGGTTTTATAGCTTATTTCAAAAATAATCAGATCTGAACTTTCTTGTGGAATATTTATAATTATTGACACTCAGTTTTATGTTACTAACAATTTGGATTATGTTACTATCTTACCTCCACTTATGCCTGTGAATAGATACTTTTTTTTTTCCTTTTTTTAGTAACAATAGACACACTGTGTTGAGTAAGTCTGGAAAGAGTTGATACCCCTATCTCTATTCTGAGTTCACTGGATTGTTTACATTTTTCCACATTTAGTGCAATGTTGGATTTACAAATGTGGCATTAATAGTACATTATGCTAAGGTATGTTCTTCCTATTCATATCTTTGATAATAAATGAATGTAAAAATTTCCAACATCGCTATTATGAATATATCAACACAATCATATTCCTTCCCTCAGAATCTATAAATAGCTGTCTTACACTGATATGTCTATACTTGTTGAAACCGACTTGTATATCTCAGTTTTGGTGGGAAATATATATGGATATCACATTTGTGGTTTCTGCAACCTTTGATTGAATTTCTCCTATTTGCAGTAGTTTCCATTCCCTCCAGGAGTTAGAATAAAGCCTTAATGTGCCATTTTCTCAACTTCATTTTTGGCCACTTCATTAACATGAATTTTTTTTATTGTTAGTTTCTTTTTTTTTAAGTCGAGGGTTCAGCTTATACCTGTTGCTCATCTAATAACAGTTAAATATAACTTGGTATGAGGAATGGTGAGATTAAAGAGTTGCCAGCAGACAATGCCCCTCTAGATTTGCCTTTTATTTCATGTGTATGGGTACATGGGCAGCATATATGCTTGTGCAGTATGAATCACCGTACCTTGATATTTGTGTGGAGGGACACACAGTCAATTATGCAGAAGGTAAGACCTTATTAACATATTTGCTTGAGTTTTATGTCTGGTATATCTACAATACTATCATTGTTAAAAGTATTTAACAAAGTTGAAGTTGAATGATGTTGAGGGGCTTGTGGAGTGGAATTTATAAAATAAAACACCACACAAAGACAGTGCAATGTGTTCAGTATTTGCTCATGGGTAACCGTGTTCTCGTTTTCATTAGTACATGACTGAATCACAAGGTCTAAGCACTATTCAGAGGCACACATAGACACAGCCCAGCGTGGAATGTCTCTCATTGACAGTTTAGTATATATATTTTCATCTGTCCCTTTGCAGACTACATTCTCTCTTTCCCTGAATGTAGCAATAAAGCAGCTTCTTCCCTAAGCATATACATTCTTCCTGTGCTGAGTTCCTTTGACACGTGCAAGTAATACTATGGCAGTAATCCAAGAACAGTCAACAAAAACAATCTTCTCTAATGTAGCTGACTCTGTTTCTTTAATATCAGACTTACATTGTGCATGAAATTTGGAGGAAAAACAAGTGGTGTCAGCACATGTTGGATGAGAATTGTTTTCCTAGGGTGATGCAAATGCATCTACTCATTCAACTGAAAGCTGACAACAGAAATTATTATGGATAACACTTATGTCAAACTTGTTGATCCAATGAGCTTCATTGGGATTACATCCAGGTAATGTGAATTTCTCAAGTTCCTCATATATAGAAAAATTCTCTCAGATTTTCTGGCAGCTGACGACCAAGCTGCTCTGTGTAGCAAGGTAAGGCTTAACAATGTCTTTTATGACTGCCTGTATAAGACTGGTGAACTATGTCCCCAAAAACATCATAGAGGAGCCTAGAGTAACTAAGTGTGCATTTGTCATTTTAATTGATACAGAGGCCATTTGTATTACACTTCCTACACAAAGTTATTCTTGACATATCTCCAATGATGTTGGTAGCCAATTGTAGCTAGTGAGTTTAACAACAGCAAGAACATAGCTACCATGTCATTCCAATTCATATTTAATAGTTAATATAATTCCTTCCTTTTCTAGGGAGACTAGGTTCCTTACTGAATAACTGACAGGCTTCACGCTATAGGAAATTTGGAGCTTCTACAGGGTATGAGAGTCCAGGGAAATGATATGCAAGTTGTAATGTTCTAAGCATATGAAAGCTCAAATATGTTATACAATTCCAATAATCTAATATAGGTATGATGATATGAAAGCTTGAGTAAACTGTGAGGGTCTGAGATGATGATTTAAGGTATATAAATGCAACTTTTAAAAAACAAGTGAAAATGATTTCAGGTACACAAAAAAAAAATTCAGACTTCTATACCTCTCTTTATGCCATTGTTATATTGATTTCAAATTTCAGAGTTTTGACATTAATCAATGGAATTAACATTTCTCCCCTAAAATTCGTAACTTTACCATCTTACAAGGATATTTTGGCAAACAGAAAATCAATGAAAAAAAAAAGCAGGATTTGTCCAGGTCACATTATTAGAAATTTATCGACAAAGGAAGAAGACACCCACAGCAATGGCTCACAGCCAGCTTCCTTATGGATAGCAGAGAAACTGCTCGCACCCCGGGTCTTGGGTCTCCTCCTTCCTGGGTCCCAGCCATGCAGCTCCTCTCACCTGGGAGGTTCCAGGGCCGCCGGGCTGCGGTTCCCGCCACTGCGCTGCTGACTGTGACTTTCCCAGGCTGCACGCGCGGAGACTGCGGCTCCGGAGTTTTCAGGTCCCCGAGGACCCGGCCAGGTCTTCCTTACCCTGATCAGGACCATGCAGCTCCCGGAGACCAACAAGGAATGGCGGACCTTCCGGTTCCTTCAGTCCGGTTCTTTGCAACGGATCCTCCTCGTCCCGCCCACTACACCGCGCTTCCTATTTTGTGTTTTCCAGTACACCATCCGATCGCGGGCTTTTTTTATTAGTTTCCCAATTCTCCTCGACTCCATAAATTCTTTCCCAATAAACTCCTCTGATCACGCTACGTCCCTGCCCTTTCCAGAACCGGTCCCTCCCACTCTGTCTCCCTCTGCCGCTGTCAGGCTGCCCTGAACCCGCTCTGCGCAGACTCCCCACACGCTTGCTGCCAGCCTAGAGCAGAACTGCATCCAGGATCTGACCCCACAGTGAGCTCTGAACCCTTAAGACACAAGTTATCCCGCCTAACTTCTCATCTTGGGACACCTGCCTCCTGGGATAAAAGCACTCAGCAAAAGTAAACTAACTTACTAAAATCTAATGCTCAAGTCCCATTCCCAACACAAACTAAAACTAGATAAAAGAGGTTTTGGATCATATCACAAACCGTATCTGTAACCCCCTAAGGAGAGCAATTTAAATGACATCCAATATACAGAATTCAAAAAGCTGAGTCATGTTCAAGGAGGTAACAGCATGTAAAATACATAAATCAACTCAAATAGGATTGGAACACACAATGATTCATGGGTAAGAAAACACTAACAAATGCCTGAAGGAGATGAGAACGATGTAGGACACGAAAAATGAATTCCTGTGAAACATTTTAGTTTGCAGAGTAAGGATATGGGAAAGGGGCAAGAAAATACTTCTTGCAAGAGGAATATAGAAAATCATAAAGAATGGAATTGACATGGGAGGAAAGAACAGAAATTATGAGAACAAGAAGGGTTACTATGGCGATGGGGCTAGTGGGCTGATCTTGTTAAATAGGGCTAGTTACTGAATCATCAAACCTTTGTGGAATAACTGAAGGCTCTAAATGTACAGCCAAGAGAAAGCCAGAGTAAGAAAAAAGTTTCTCACAGGTCTTGGCCCACAACAAGGGAAATAGGCCCCCAACCCCGGAACAAATGATTCCAGATGAACAGCCCTGTCTGGGTCAGTCCTGGCCAACAGACAGTCTTGGCACTTTCCAAGTCATTCTATGGTTTATCTTTTGAATAAGAACAGGTCATACCTGGGTGATCTCTCAAACATAAGATCATACTTTATAACCAATCACTTGTGCCCCATGCATGTATGCTGATTTGTGGTCTTCTCTATAAAAAGAACCTGGACCCTTTGAGGGCTGTGCAGCTTTCCCTGAGATTGCTGTCATCCGAGTGCACTCGTTCAATAAACACCTCTTGCTTGTTGCATCTCTTGGTTTTTGTGTTTGTATCACCGGGCTCTCCCACTGGCCTATTAGGACCCTGGAATTAAGGTCTACCACCTTTAGTAGCTAAAAAGCACTAACAAACAAAACAAAACCCAAACTGAAGTGAAGCAAGAAATGAAAAATGTTATAAGCCTACATAATAATTCAAAGAGATCAGGTAGAGGAGACAAACTATCAGGCTTGAAAACAAGGGGGGAGGAGCTGTATGGATAGCTTGACCCAAGAAAATAACAAAATGTTCCATGCAAGTAAAAGGTTAAAGTGAAATTCCAGCAGCACGTTCTACTCTTATGTGAAATATTCTAAATTTCAGACACAGTAACTCACTCTGGAGAGTTTTGCTGTAAAGCTGATAATAATTTCTACCACTATGCAAAATGAGATGCCACTAAAAGGCCACCTCTACCCTTCCCTCACAGACCTCCACTACTTCCAGCCAAGTATCCAGAATTACATGATTAGCAATATTCACGTGGAGAAAGACGTTTCAGGAACTCAAGATTTTGAAAGGAAATGGGTGCCTCAGGATGTGAGTGTTCATTTCAATCAGCCCATTAGCACCCCAGGGCTGAATTTATCTTTATAGCTTTACCCGAAGATGTTGAAATTGTGGTTTTATTAACAGGAAGTTTGTCTGCCATTCTGACAGAAATAAGATGGTATCTCAGAGTTGCCTTGATTTGCGTTTCCCTGATGGCTAAGGATGTTGAGCACTTTCTTAAGTGTCTTTCAGCCATTTTGGATTCCTCTATTGAGAATTCTCTATTCAGTTTTGTACCCCACATTTTAATTGCATTATTTGGTTTTTGGTGACTAGTTTCTTGACTTCTTTGAGTGTTTTGGAGAGCAGCCTTCTGTCAGATGTGGGGCTAATGATCCAAGAAGATAGGTGGGACTAGGTTTTGAGGAGGATTCTGGAAAATATAGGCAGAGAGGAGTTGTCAAGAGATCCCAGGAAGTGACGTAGCTGGACAGAAACTGCTAATCACTAACCATAAATGTCTTGAGGTCTGTGTAGACAGGTAGGAAGTGATGTAGCTGGAAAGACTCAGAATGTAAGCAGAGACGAACAAGAAATTTCTCTCTTCTTTGCAGACACACTGAGTCAGTCACCATGTAGGAGGACAGAGGAGTTTCCAGACCTTTCTCTAGTAGGAGAAGACCATGAGGAAATACTTAGATTAATAGAAAATGTGTTAATAATTAAGTCAGAGCTAACCAATAAGAAACCATAGCCAATGGGCAACACTTTCATAATTAATAGAAGTCTCTGTGTTTTATGGACCAGGTTGGCAGGAAAGTTCTCATTACGCAAGAATACATAAAAAAAAAAAAATCATCCACCATGACCAAGTACACTTCATCCCAGAGATACAGGGTTGGTTCCACATAATCCACCAAATAAACAAACTGAAAGAAAAAACAAAACAAACAAAAACAAACCAAAAAAAAAAAAAAAAACCACATGATCATCTCATTAGATGCTAAAAAAAAAAAAAAAAAAAAAAAAAAAGTCTTGAACATAATCCAGCACCCTTTCTTGGAGAGATCAAGATCACAAGACCATATATAAACATAATAAAGGCAATATACAAGCCAACACCCAACATCAAATTAAATGGAGAGAAACTCAAAGTGAGTTCCGTGAGGATAATGAGTATAAATCTCTGATTTCCTTTTATTCTGAAAGGAAATTAAATATTTTCCTTTAAAATAGTTGCTGTGGTCATGGTATCTTTTCTGAGCAGTAAAACCCAAACTAAGATAACTACACTTGTAAGGTTTCTTTCCTAGATGAATTCCATGATGTATTGAGAAAAAAGCAAATAGTAAAGGATTTCTCACATTCGCTGCATTTGTAAGGTTTCTCTTTAGTAAGTATTCTCTGATGTACTAATGTCATTTTTCTATCAGCTTAGCAGTTGCACCTGACTGTGACCCCATGACCCAACATGTAGTTTTTAACTAAGTCACTCATGTTCTATTTACCAGTAAAGACTCAGGAGTCAGATGTTGAGGTAACACCTGCTAGTTCAGAAAGGCCAAGAAATAACAAAATGACTTACAAACAGAGTTTCTCCAAACATCTCAAACCAGAAGACCACAAACTTCCAAGTCACTCCCTAATCATTTCTGTGTGCCTTATCAGTCTTTCATAACCCTTCCTACTTCCTATGGATAATTCCAATCAGTTAGTTCTGGGTTCTGCCCCCAATCCAAGGTTGATATAATTAAAATTCGGGTTTCACAGTGTGATCAAATATCCCAGAACATATTCCAAGAGCCAAATCTACAAAAAAAAGGAATTTTCACATTTGCTCCATTTCTAAAGTTTCTCTAATGTATGTATTATTGGATGAGTTCTGAGATTGCCTTTTCTGGTTAAGGAGTTGTTACATTCACCATATTTATAAAAATTTTTCCTGTATGTGTTCTGTAATGAATTCTAAGAGATGAGTCCCAGCTAAAGGATTTGTCAGGTTTCTCTCCTGTGTGTATTCTCTGGTGAGTTCTAAGATTTCCTTCCTCGGTAATAGATTATTTTTCTCCTTTTGCTATATTTGTAAGTTTTCTTTCCTGTATGTATTCTCTGATGAGTTCTAAACATCACTTTCTTAGTAAATGATTTGTCACATTTACTACATTTGTAAGGCTTCCTTCCTGAGTGGATTTTCTGATGGCTCTTAAGATGGTCCTCTGTGGTAAAGGATTTGTCACATTCACTACATTTGTAAGTCTCTCCTGTGTAGGTTCTCAGATGTATTCTGAGAAATGAAGCACTCAGCAAGGATTTGTCACACCCTTTGAGAGGTGTGCAGCTTTCCCTGAGATTGCTGACACCCGAGTACGCACTCGCTCAATAAACGCCTCTTGCTTGTTGCATCTCCTGGTTTGCTGTTTGTGTCGCAGGGCTCTCCCATCGGCCCATCAGGACCCTGGAATTAGGGTCTTACAACATGTCCCCTTTTCATTTCTGATTTTGTTGATATGGATATCCTCTCTGTGTCTTTAGGTTAGTTCTGATAAAGATTTGTCTATCTGGTTGATTTTCTTAAAGAACCAACTCTGTCTCACTGATTCTTTGTATTGTTTTTGTTTCTATTTAATCATTTCAGCCCTCAGTTTGATTATTCCCAACCATCTCCTCCTCCTGGGTGAGTTTGCTTCTTTTTGTTCTAGAGCTTTCAGTTGCTCGGTTAATTCCCTGGTGTGGAATTTCTCTAGCTTCTTCATGTAGGCATTTAGTGTTATAAACTTTCCTCTTATCACTGCTTTCATTGTATCCCATAAGTTTGGGTATGTTGTGCTGTCATACTCATTGAATTTTGGGAAGACTCTAATTTCTTTATTTCTTCCTTGGCCCAGTAGCGATTCAGATGAGCATCGTTCAGTTTCCATGACTTTATGGGCTATCTGCAATTAGTATTGTGTGATGATATATAATTTATGATTTATTAAAGCTTGCCTAAGGATTCAGAAAGAAAAGCCAAACACAAGCTATAGAAGTCAGGCAGTGGTGATACATACCTTTAATGCCAGCAGCCATACTAGCTAGCCAGGCACTGGTGGCACACACCTTTAATCCCAGGACTCAGTATTAAGAGGAAGAGAGATCTTTGTTATTTCAAGACCACACTGACAATATGAAACTGACCCAGTCCTAAAAGAAACAGCTCACGTAAAGGTGATCTCAGCACATAGGATCACATGCCTTTAATCTCAATAATGAGGTAGACACAGGAGTGATATGTCTGGGTGTAGAAAGAAATACAAGGTAGGAGGAGACAGGAACTGAGAGCTTTTGCCTCTGAGGATTCGAGGAGACAGGATTGCCATTTCAGCTGGATAGAGGTAAGATCTACTGGGTTGGCTCCTTTGCTTCTCTGATCTTCAGCTTGAAGCTTGAACCCCAATATCTGTCTCTGGGTTTTTAATGTTTCATGATATAGTGTTGTTGTTGAATTCTTACATTAGCCATGATGATCTGATAAGATACAGGGGGTTATTTCAATTTTTCTTTGTATGTATTGTATGTATTGAGGTTTGCTTTGTTACCAAGTATGTGGTAAGTTTTAGAGAAAGTTCCATGGGGTGCTAAGAAGATATATTCTTTTGTGTATCTCCTTAAACAGAAGACATAATCCATCCCTTTCCTTCTCAAATTTCATTTTCTTGCCCCTGTTCACTATATATCTTCATTAGAGTTACCACTAATAGCCACACAACAGAGTCTATACAAGGCCGTTTTGAGATTTTCTCTGCCAATGGAATTAATCCCAATCTCTTCATGTTAATCTGAGGCAGACTTTCTGGAGAAGGGCAAAAAGCAGTCACAATCTTGACCAAAATAACACAAGAATGATCTCTAGCCAACATATTAAAATTCTTCTGCTCTGAAACGTTTTGAGCCAGCCCTATACAACAGTTCAAATCACTCAATACTCATGTGCTTCATGCTCCTACTAGGATGGCTTATTTAAGTAGCACTTAAAACTTCAAGTGCTTTTATAATCCACAGTCTCAAGGTGCATATTCCTTCAAAGACATGGTCAGGTCTATCACAGCAATACCTGTCTCTGATATGAACTTTTGTCATAGTTAGTGTTTCTGTTGCTGTGAAGAGACACATGACCATGGCAACTTTTATAAAGGAAAAACTAATTAGGGTGGCTTACATTTTCAGAGGTTTAGTCCATTATCATCATGATGTTACATGGAGGTATGGAGGCAGACATGATGCTGGAGAAGTGACTGAGTGCCTTATATCTTGGCTTGCAAGCAACAGAAGTGGTATGTCTGACTTGGTGTGGTTTGAGGCTATATGAGAGCTCAAAGCCTACCTTCACAGAAAGTGACAAACTTCCTCCAACAAGGCCACGTCTATTCCAACAAGGCCACAACTCCTAATAGTGACACTCCCTTTGGGGTCACTTAATTTCAAACCACTATAATGTCTTTTTCTAAGATACAGGAGCTGTGGTATAATAATCATAAAATCAAATTCAAACCAATATCCAATTATACAAAATAGCTCTTTGTTTGATGTTTGGAACTCATGATCTCCTAGGGCCAAGACCATGAGTACTTCCCTTTTCCAACTATGCCACGAATAAAATACACTTGTTTCAGAAGCTCATTACCTGACATTGTCTGTGACAGTCATCCCATGATCCTGGCAGTTCCAATATGCTGGAGTTTCCACTGCAACTCGGCTAGACATTCCTCAACATTCTCTCTCCTCAGGGAACTTCTGACCCTGCCACACAATGCCAAGCCTCGGCTGCTCCCCATGAACCCTTCAAAACTAGTACCATATGGGAGACTCGTTTTGGAAAGTTCTGCTACAAGACGGATGTAGGTTTGACTCGTTTGCTAGAACAGAACTAAAGAATGAATCAATCTCTCTCCCTCTCCCAACTGTGGTCCTACAATGGCTACCTGTGTACAAAGGTAATTGTTTAGTCCCAAGGCTGGATGTCTCAGCTGGTCCACAGTAAACACCAGAATCCTAAAGAAGTAGGCTCTCATGCCTGTGAAGCAATGGATTTGCTAGTAAGTTAAATGCAAGCAAACAACAAGCAACAGCTTCCTTTTTCCATGCCCTTATGTAGGCTTCCAGCAGAAAGCTTGAGCCAGATTAGAGGTGGGTTGTCCCACCTCAACAATCTGGATTGTAAGTGGATTTTTAGCACTTCAAATTAAGCAAAAGTCTCTCACAGGTGTGCCACAGTTAATTATAGATGTAGGCAAGTTGACAACCAGGAATAGCCATCACAAGTATCAGTATTCTAATACAGTGTTTTGGTACTACACTAAATACTTCCCCAACTTTTTTCACTACTGCAAAATTATCTTCCAGCACACCTTTCAGAAATTCTAAGCTGTACATGTACGTAGGTTATCTTTTTAAAGCTTTGTAGTTTCTTGTTATCTGTATGACTGGAGTCACACGTGCAATTAAGCTGAATATTAACACATTTGCTTGAGTTTTACTTTACAACTTTCCTGTTCTGTCTACAATATTAGCATTACGTAAAAGATTTAGCAAAAAAAAAAAAAAAAAATTGAAATTCAATTCACTTTTTGGGACTTAAAGAGGGGAATTCTAAGGTACAGCAGGCCATGAGGAAAGGACGATGGCATTCAGTATTTGCCCACAGGGTACTGAATCACCAGTTCTAATCATGATTCAGAGTCGTGCATGGACTCAGCCATGTTTGGATGTCTGTCACTGAGTTTTGTAACCGTATTTTCTGTCAAGCGCTATCGCCTTGCCTGCGAGAACGATGCTCAACAACAGGATTCTTCTGCAGCTATGTTTATTGCGCGGCTCATTACAGCAAGTTGAGGGAAGACCCCGAGGAGGAAAAAGGGCTCTGCTTATATATGCTCAGAGGAGCCATGTCCGTTACTGACAGTTGCAGCCCGCAATGCTTGTAACGGTCACCCCATGACGTGGATCACACATCCGCGCCTTGCTGGCTTATGGACAGGAAACCGGCACCATCTTCGGGAATGGCACTGGTGGCTCTCTACAATTTTCATATGTATCCCTGTAGACCTCTCACTCTCTTCTCCATGAATGCAAGAAAGAGAGCAGCCTCCTCTCTGAGGCTCCCAAAGTCTGTTCTGTGTTGAGCCCTTTTAACAGGGCCAGGTACTATTACGGCAGTAAGCTTGGAGCAGTGAACACAAACAATCTTTTCCTGATTTAGTTGCCCAAATGCTTTCTCTTTAATATTAATTTTCTGGTGAATAAGATGGCAGGAAAAAATTAATAGGGTTCAGCAGCACATGTTGTATGGGAGATGTAACACATATGCATCTACTCACCCAAGATGGAAACTGACAACAGAAGCAAGTATGAATGCCACTCAAGTCTATCTTGTTGAACAAACCAATGAGCTTTATTGGGGATACTCACAGAAATATGGGAAAGGTGCTCACAAAAGAGAATCAAAGACAGGTGCCATAAGAAATGAAAACCCAGCATGGAATACAACTTATGAATATTGGATACCTGGAGCACACTATACACCCACAGGCATGTCTACAAGTTGAAGGGCATCCTATTTTGGTGGTTCAGTTTGTCAAAGCCTTTTCTAAATCGCATGAGTGATCTGAGTTTCTTCATGGGAGTTAAACAATGCAAATGCTGTCAGTTTCAGGGACTTCCTGAGTTACTGGGGGGGGGGGGTTATTTCCTGTCTTAATTGGCTTTCCTTCGTGATGGAACATTTCAGTCTCCAGGAAATGGTCACACAACAGCATATTCTTCAGCCTTTTCCATTTTGTCTACATTATGAAGTATTTGAGGGTGAAAAGAGAGACTGTCTTAATGAAAATTTTCCTACATCATCACATTTGAATAATTTTCCCTCAACAGAAACTGGTGATGTTTTCTAAGATTTGAACATCACTTACAGGATTTCAGAAGCTTCTCATGTTTATGATTCTCTAGTGGGGAGCCTGCAATGGTCCCTAAGCCTGTGCCATATTATGTATTAATGGAAACTTTCCTTCCCTACTATGAATTTTCTGATGTTTTCTTAGACCTGACAGGTGGGTAAAGACTTTGACACATTCCCTGCATTTGTAAGGTTCCTCTCCTGAATGGATTCTCTGATGTATTCTAAGTTGGACTTTCTGAATAAAACATTTGTCACATTCACTGCATTTGTATGGTTTCTCCCCAGTATGAATCTTCTGATGTCTTCTAAGATCTGAGCCACTGGTAAAGGATTTCTTACATTCACTACATTTGTAAGGTTTCTCTCCTGTATGAATTCGCTGGTGTTTTCTAAGACCTGAGCAACATTAAACGATTTCTCGCATTCGCTACATTTGTAAGGTTTTTCTCCTGTATGAATTCTCTGATGTATTGTAAGTTGAGCTTTCTGGATGAAGCATTTGTCACATTCACTACATTTGTAAGGCTTTTCTCCTGTATGAATTCTCTGATGGGTTCTTAGGTATGTTACTCGGCTAAAGCTTTTGCCACATTCATTACATTTGTAATGTTTCTCCCCTGTATGAATTGTCTGATGGCTTCTTAGGTGTGTCAGCTGACTAAAGTGTTTGTGACATTCACTGCATTTGTAAGATCTCTCTCCTGTATGGGTTTTGTAATGGTATTTAACCTGATACAAGTGATAAAAGCATTTGCCACAGGCATTACATTTGTGGGGTTTCTCTCCAGAATGATTTTTCTGATGTATACTGAGGCTCGAGTGGATCCTTTGATTTTGACTAATAGGAAACAAATTTAAACAATTTATACAGTCTTTAAATTTGCAAGTATCTTCTCCAGAGTCCTCGCTTTTAGGTCTTTTTATGACTGATGACTCAACAGAAGCATCCTTGTAGCTACCACATCTGAATTTATTATAGTTTTCTGCAGTATCACTCACGTCATAAGGTGTATATTGGGAGGATTCATTAATCATTTTGCCCAGCTCATTACATTTACAAAGAAATCTCTTGGATATTCACATGATGATGAACAATATGTTTTGAGCCTTGATCCAGGAATTTTTCACAATTTCCACATATACAATGGTTCTCTGGAAAGTTAGCACAATCATGAATAATAGGAATTAATGCATAAGTAACAGATTCAATAGCTTTTCCTCACATTCTCTAAGACAAGTAAGCTAGCAATTCTTAGGAACAGAGTTCTCAGCAGAGGCCTTTTGTGCTTCACTATCATTAAATTTAAGCTCTATTCTGATCGCTATCAAAACAAAAGGATCGGTAATAGCCTTCTCATTCTTATCTAACCTGCCTACCTTTCAGAGGCTGGACACATGGGTAACCAAGCAATAATGGATTTTGAGGCAGGAGCTCTCTGAAGCATCATAGGAAAAATGTTTCTCTACTTTCTTGTTGTTTATGTTTTTGGAACAGGGTCCATTATGTAGCCTTCAGGGGCTAGGAACTCACTATATAAACCAGTGTCGCCTGGAACTTGCCAGGTCCTCTTGCTTCAGCAATTCCTAATGCTAGGATTAAAATCATGCTGTGCCAGGATTATAGACTATATGTGAAAAAAATCAATAAATAAGAACACAACATGCTTACCAGCAACAGCGCTTTAGCTTTAAAATTCTCCATATTTTTTTTAAAAAATCAGAAATAGGTAAACAGTTTAAATTTAATAGTAAGTAAAATTAATTCAATTACTAAGTGTACAACAATGCATTTTCTTGCTCAGAATATTCAGCTTTCTTTGAACGTTAAAATTTTCCTTAAAAACTGCAAAAGGCTGGGAGTGGTGGCACATGCCTTTAATCCCAGCACTCAGGAGGCAGAGGCAGGTGGATCGATGTGAGTTCAAGGCCAGTCTGGTCTACAGAGTGAGTTCTAGGACAGGCTCCAAAGCTACACAGAGAAACTGTGTCTCAAAAAACCAAGAAATCAATAAATAATGAAGGAAGGAAGGAAGGAAGGAAGAAAAGGTTATGTTCACTATCAAAATGTCCCTTATTTCTGGCTATCTCTAGGCAGTTCAGGGAGTTTACATACACACAAATTAGATAAATACAAAGAATGGATGAGGATTACTACAAGAAGGGTATTCTTACCTACAAAGACTAGATTGCTATAATTCTCCAATATCACATCCATGTACAAAGTCCTCTGAGCAGAGTCCAGACATTCCCATTCCTCCTGGGACAACTCCACAGTCACATCCCTGAATGTTAACAGATCCTGTAATAGAAAATTACCCATTTACCATGTGCTGTTAGGGAAAAATAAAAGTTTTCCTAGGCCAAAGAGACCTAAAGAATTAGATAGATACTCTTGGTGATACAGATGAGGTGTGACAATTATTCAAAAACAAAAGTTTTCTAGAGGTGCTAGAGAGATGGTTGGAGGTAAAGAGCATGGACTGCTCTTCCAGAGGACTCACGCTGGGTTCCCAGCACCCAAATGGTGCTAAACACCAGATTCCAACTATGGTTCCATCAAATCCGATGCTGTCTCCTGAACTCTACAGGCATAGCGTTCACACATACATTAAAGCAAGTATACTCAAACACATAAAATAAAAGTGCAAGTTAATATTAATAAAGGACACTTTCTAGAATAGTCATGCTCTCTGTTGTATTTTCTATCTTGGTGAAAAGAGGTTGACATTATCTTCTCATAATCAACAAATTTGGGAATATAAGGTGGACACTTAAGATCTAGATGCAGGAATGTAACTCTACAAAGGCTGTGATGAAATTAAATAGGATCATAGTATCTCCTCTCAGATGGCCAATTATGATGAGCAAAACTCATCATTCATACCTACTCTTCCATATCTACTGGATGATGGGAGATGTCGTTTTGTAAATATGTTTCTCATACTGGTTAATGAATAAAGCACTGTTGGCCAATAGGAAAGGAAGATAGGAGGGACTAGGAGACAAGGAGGAAAGAGGGAAGTAGGAAGGAGGAGTCAACATGGAGAGACTGGGAGACGAGATGTCGGCCCCACTGCCTGGTAAGAAGACCACGTGGAAATACATAGAAATGGTTAATAATTAAGACAGAGCTAGCCGATAAGAAACTAGTAATGGGCCAACAGCATTATATCAAATACAGAGTCTCTGTGTTAATTGGGGCTGGCGCGGCGGGGGGACAAGACCGGTGGCAGGTGGAAAAACCTTACTCCTTACAACTGGGCTTCGACCTTGTTTAAATATGGACACTGGATCACTACTGTCTGCAGCTGGGCCTCACATGGCTCTAATCTAAATACTCAGGTCAGATGCTGAGGCCTAGGTGTGATGCTGTATGGTTTCTAGAACAAAGAACATGGATGAAGAATTTATGGGTTAGTTAATAGTCAAAACAGTTTTTTTTTTTTTAACAGTATAACATCAGTGCATACATGCAACATGCCAAACAAAATACAGAATCGAAAACTTCGTGATGTTATAAGAAAATTCTTGACAACCATGAAGTAAACAAAAAAACAGCATTAGACAGCGTTAATACTATCTAAAATTTACTAAAACTCCACACAACCAAGATGAATACCAAGTTCAGAAATTCCATATGGGGTCTCACTACAGAATAATTAAATTATACTAACTCTTCATTTCTTCTGAATATAAGCATTGCTCCTGAAATTGGCTCAATTGAAAATTTGAATCTTAGCCGGGCAGTAGTGTTACATGCCTTTAATCCACAGGAGGCAGAGGAAAGTAGATTTCTGTGTACCTGAGGGTGCCTATCTGAGGTCTGCAGAGCATGTTCCCTGGAAACACAGAGTAACCTTGTTCAAAAGCCAAAAATCAACAACAACAACAAAAAGTGAAAAAGAAAAAGAAAATTTGTAAACTCTTTTCTTATTCTTCAGTGATTTGAGCTCAATCATGTAACATGAGTTTAAGTTGAACAGACAAGTATCAGTATGAATTTCTTTGCATTTTCAAAAAAAACAAGAAAGTAGGTTATATACAAACATACATATAACAGAAATATAACCCCACAAACCCACGTCCCCTGGGGACTGGAAAGATATCAAGTAAAAGGTTACTTGCTGTACCTGAGGAGAGCAAGTTTAATTCTCTACATACATGGTAGCTCACTACAGTGACTGATTCTAGTGTCAAGAGTTTGATGCCTGCCTCCAGATTATGGCCATGAGGCATCGCTCAGGCATATAATGCACACAAACATACAGATGAACACTGCTTGCTAAAAGGAAAAAAAAAAAGTTAAATAAGAAATGAAAACCTGTCCATTATACCTTTCTTCTGAATCTCCCAACTGCATAATACATAGCTTCAGGGAAAGGAAAAAAAAAATTGTAAAATACAGTGAGTCTTCCTCCTCCAAAAGAAAGGAAAAGAGGAAGAGGAAAGTCATTAAGAGGGACATTTGTTTATACTTGAAAATCCATGAAAGCATACCTGACACAAAGTCAATACTCTCTGAAAATTCTTATATACTCTACATGGGGTGGAGACAGGACTGCTTATACCCACCATGCAGCAACAAAAAGACCAAAGAAAATACTGATTTTTTTTTTTTTGAGACATACACTGAACAGTGGAAACAAGACCATGACATAGGCAAGAACCTCTCCTACTAAGACAAATAGATTTCAGCTGTTAACACACCCATAGGAACATCATCACTGAGTGAAATCAATATATATATATAAAAATAAACACATTTAAGACTTTCCAGAGGCAGAAATTAAAAAGATGGTTACAACAGAAAAATAATTTTCAAATGAATCTAGACACAGCACCAACCTGGGCCCATTTACCGGAAGCAGCCCATTCCTGATGTTGTTCTTCTCTGAGTTTCTGTCTCAGGAACAAGACTTAGATACTTCTTGACATTTCACATTGAGAGTCCAAAAAATATAAAACTAAATTAATCCAACTCTGTCACGGACAATGCCAAGGTCTTGTCAGCATTGCTATAGAAAGGAATAGCGCAGAAAGATCTATTTAGAGTGCTGAAAGAAAATGACTGTGAACCCTATCCATTGTACTCAGAAACACTGGCTCTTCAAATTCATAGAGAAGTGCAGTTGAAGAAAGTTGTTAGATAACACATCATCCATTCAGGCAGCAATGCAGATCATAATGAGAGGCAAATTATACTTAGAAAAATCAGAGAGAAATTATCCATGAGAACACAGGAAACAAGATAATTTTACATAAAGAACAAATGGAATAGAGGACAGCTGATTCGGGAAACTTTTTTACGCTTTTCCATTATATTGAAATAATGGAAAGCAGCCAAACTTCTTAAATGACCAATTTTAAGTGATTTGTTTATTATGTATATAGTGTTCTACCTACATGCATGCCTGCCATACCAAAAAGAGAAAAAAAATTTCTCTTCATTACAGGTGGTTGTGGAATCCACTATGTGGTTGCTGGAATTGAACTCAGGACCAGCTAGTGCCTAACCATGGAGCCATCTTGCTAGCCCCTAAATGATCGATTTTAAAACAATAGTTGAGAAAGTATTCAGAGAATCTAAGTAAATAAAATACCAAATTCTCTCAGAAACAACCATGGATATTTATTAAGTATACTAGGAATTCAAATAACACTCATTGAGATAAGCATTATGACAACTAAATTAGGATATTAATACTATCAACAAAATTAAGACAACAAGAAGAAAACAAGCTTTGTAGCTCTGCCATCTGCAGTATGAAGCAATAGGTGAGAAATACTCAGCTTTGATGAAGGAAAACAGACATAACTCAACAGCTTCACTAATCCTACCCAGCAGAAACCAAAGCACACAGGAGAGGTGTATTCTATCATCAGGGTTCTCTAGAGTAGCACAACTTGTAGATTGAATCTCTCAACAAATAGAGAGACCTAGGATTTATTACAAGGTTTATAGGCTCAACCAGCTAACCAAACAATGGCCAAAGTGACTAAATGTCTCGGGCTGGTCTTCCAGATATGCTTGAATCCCAGGACGTAGGCTCGAATGCCAGTGAAGGAATAGATGTGCTAGCAAAGTGAGGGCAAGCAGACAGGGAGCTTATCTTCCAGGTCTTCCCCAGTGACATTTAAAGTAGAGTTTTAAACTAGCTAGAGAGATAGAGTGAGTTTTGGTGGTTAGGAGCACTGGCTATTCTTCCAGAGAACTGGGCTTCTAAGAACAGCAACCAATTTGCAGCTCACAAAACTGTAACTCTAGTTCCAGGGGATCCCATGCTTTCTTCTGGCCTCTGTGGGCACTCCACATATGTGGTGCACAGACATACATGCAGAACAACTATCCATACACAGGTAGCAATAATAATGACAGGACTAGCCACAGACATTTCAAAGAGACAAAGAAACAAAGGGATACAATAAGAAGGACAACATTAATTTAACCTTATCAACAATTATGTGATTGCATATATAACCCTACCTGAAGATAGCAACACACCCTTTTATAGTTGACAAATGCCTTTGTACTATTGAAATATAAAGAATTATTATACACAACTCACCAGTTTAGAATATACCAATAATGAGCAAGTTGAGAAATAAATTGGGATACATCCCACTATCAGTAGCTTCAAAGATCTCCAGATCTCCCACAAAAATACCATTTAGTGTGTTCATAATTCTCAGCCATGATGGAATTAAAAAGAACACAACTGATATTCCCATCTCACCCTGGCCAGAATGGCTTAACACAAAGAAAACAAATTGGGGAACAGAGAGCTGTCGGTCATTAAAAAACACTTAATGCTTTTTATAGACTACCTGGGTTAAAATCCCAGGACCAACATGCAGGGAACTCAGGCCTCTACCAGGGGACCTAATGTCCTCTACTGACCTCCAAAGGCAGCAGGCAAACAGACATACATGCCAAAACAAATGTATACATTAAATAATATAAAAATAACTAAAACAAAGGGAAATAAAGAAGGCTTGTAGGGGGAACAACAGAGGCAACTATAATTCTGATTTGATGCTGGTAGTGAGATAGTCCTTCTGTGGCACTGACCACGCCCATTGGGGGTGGAGCCATGGGCGGAAGTGACCTGTGGAAGGAGGTCGGAGGGGCCTGGAAAGGCGCTCTTTTGGCGTGACTGAGAGGAGAGAACCGGGTTGAATTTCCTGGTGTTCATCTGTCTAGGTTGTAAGTTATTTCTCCCTGAATAAACATCTATTCGGCCTATTTGTTTATCCTGATCCTTATTTACTGCAATAGATGCTAGCCTTGTATACATACTAACTTTTCACTAACGATGACAGCTATATAATGAATCCTCCCTGACCCTGACTCACCCCAAAATAATAAACAAAAACAAA